CTCCTAAACCGTTAGTTCTACGGGAAAATTGCATGTGACCTTTCTTGTAGAGGATGACGAGATCTACAATTTCCATGTAAAAATTCTTTGCTAGCATCAATAGTTTACGAGTTATGGACGAAAAACGAAAAAACAGTTTTTTGTAAATAACTCGTAAACTATTGATGCTAGCAAAGAATTTTTACATGGAAATTGTAGATCTCGTCATCCTCTACAAGAAAGGTCACATGCAATTTTCCCGTAGAACTAACGGTTTAGGAGTTATTGAAGAAAAACGAAATTTTTTGTCAAAAGTTCGCCATTTCGACGCTGGGATGGTCGGATTTCGTCAATGCAAATAAAATGCCAATTAACTGCAATTAACTTGTTAAATACTAAAGTTAGAAGAAAAATGCATAGAACTTCTCTTGTCATGTCTTTTGATGCCAGTGCCTACAACTTCTGTATAAAAAGCAATTTCGACGCGTTGAAATAAAAAGAATTTTGATGTAGGTGCTGGTAATGTGCAAAATTATGTTAAAATCCAACAGTATCGATGCTAGATTGAGCTTGTAAAAACAAGACATATGCTTACTCGTTTTGAATTTTGTCTTCCTAGGGGAAACTAACAGAAGCTCGATCCGGCTCAGTTTCATTGTTACTAGCAATACCTATTCAATTTCCCCTGTACGTACGTCTTCCTCCCCAGGAAATAACGGTTTGCCGCGCGGTAAGTGGCAGGGAACGCGTAAGAAGTCCATTGTTACTCATATAGAAGGGGACAAGAGGGACGTTGGAAAGGTAGGCGAACGATCTACGCCTGTGACTCTACACCGTGTAACGTTAAGTAACTACCGCGGCGAATACACAACACTCTTCATTCCTTACGAATTTCCGGTTAATGTACATGACCATTACAATTCGGTTCGCCTGGCTGTTAACGGTAAAAACAGATTGGGTCAGTAACTTACGTATCGTTATCTCGAACTAAAAAGCTTTCACCTTTACGCGAGATCGGAAGAACAGATAAAATAGGTCTAATATAATTTGGAAGAATAAACTTGTTACGATGTAAAATGATAGAGTGGATGATATTTGTTTCGAGCAATAGAGAGTTTCTCGAACACGGAGTTAGCACGAGATCGAAACTGGACCCTTCGATCCTCTTTCCGTAGATGGATCTTGGGCAGGCAAAGAAACGTCTGACCAGTCTTTGCACTAACCCCTACCTTTTCTCCGTCAGGATCAGTTTATCTCAAAGAATTACAATGAGAATAGGTTGTGGATTGGTTTAAAAGCATAAAATTTGAAGAGAACAAGAATCTCTGTACTACCTTCAATAAAACGTTTATACCTCGAACCCTCGGAACTAGGAGAGAGTTGAGGTTCACAGGTAGACGATTTCGAGGTATCTAAAGGAGCATCGGTGATTCTTATCGAAAATACATATTCTACAGTGCAATGCTGTTTTCGAGTTTATCGCGATTAAGAACGATTCTCGAAACAGGGAGTGTTAGCTTCTATCGTTCATTTTGTTAGACGAGACAGATAAAACTGATTGTGAGACGTACGACGATAAGAAAACCAGCCGAGAAACTAGATCGTTTAACACAGTCGCATTTTATCGTCCACAATAAGAGCAGTGGAAAAATTTTAAATAATGTTACACAAGTCTCTTAATACATTTGATATGGATAATCCATACAGTCCATACGAATTAAGAGGTCTCTATTAAATATTATCTCTGTTTGCGCTTCAAACATACGTTCAGACTTCAATCTAACGTGAATTAATTTCAGAACATATTCTTATGTATCATTGGACGCTCTGACCTGATCTACGATTATCAATATTAGCAAAGATTATACAAACTAGGTTTCGATAAGGCACGTTCTTTACGAGCGAATGAATTCCAAGCATTCGATAGGAAAATGATGGTACTCGAGGTATCGAATAAAAAATGAGAAAATTGTTCCTTTTTACGACGTGGAACGAAGTCGAGAAGGTGGAAAGAGAAATATAGGGCAATTGACTCACTTGTATTTCGAGCAGCAACTCCGTCTTCTTGCGCCTGATGTCGATTAAGATCTTCTGGTGTTCAGGCGTCAATTCTGTGCAACAGAAGGGAACGTAATCTTATTACGTACTCCTGTATTCGCGACTAATTACTCGAAACATTTCGTGAAAAGACGCGGCTCGAGGAATATCAAGTTTTCAGAGTGGACGAGTTTTAATTAAAGAGAGGCAGGTACTTGACAAATTCCCAGAACTCTTAAAACCTAATTAACCCTGAGTCACGTCATTTCATACCGTAAATGCCGTTAAAAAACGGAACATCATAGATTTTATGGATTCATTCAAAGGCTACTTAAAATCTGAACAATTCATGAAACTATATGAGTGCATATTCTAGTTTTTAAATGATAAAATAAATTCCTATCTTAAATACATTACTTATTTCATTTTGTATCAAAATCCGTAGCCTATTAATAGTACACCAAGCAACTTGTAATCGCAATTCATTGGTGCCGAACCAATCGATGACAAACGACTGTGAATGAATGTCTATATAGTAAACCATTCTTGCAAGAATACAAACAGATCGCGGATCAATTAAAGTCTAATTAGAGGAACGTGCAAACGATCAATAATTGATCGTGAACTTGATTGAACAACTTGGTCGATGTCGCCTGTTTCAAAGGAACAATAGGCGCATCCTCGGTGGCAGCCAAGGCGAGGAAGAGGCCTCATTAGAATCAATTTAACGATAATTCTAAAAATAGGTCTTTCAAATTAAGGCTGGGGTCGCGGTACACGCACTGAACAAATGCAAATGGGATTAGACTCCGAAGGGGAACAAGTGGCGGGCAACCAGCTTTTATTATAAACACCTTGAACCGTTTTCTGCAAATCTTGCAGATTCGTCAGACGTTGAATAGGTACTACACGTTATCGTGCCCTCTTTTATATCGATGAGTCAACCGCGTTACATTTACTATTTATATAGGGCTTATTATGGAATTAATCGTCTACCTGTTGACATTATTCGAGGTATTCTAAGAAAGTTTTACCCCTATAATTAGCGCGCTAATTATGTACGGATAAAATCAATACAGCTATGCACGATGCGATATTGATCGTTCTTAAAAGGGAATGAATAATGAGATGGTACCGATCGGAAAGAAGTTAAGTATAAATAAAGTAATTAAGAATGACACGGTACAGATATCAACGAACAGAACGGTATACCGTTTAATCATTCACTAAATGATTATGGTAATGAAAACGCGGTAAGGACGTAAGGGAAGTGGGAATCATGCAGTTTCATACGCCATTCATAATGCGTTCCGCCACCTGCGCTACGTCGTAAGGGTACCGTATGAATACCGTGGCACGACCTACGCGTGAGGTTATGTAATTCGAACGGGTACGCTAACCTCTTCCTCTCGCGCGACAAACGGAAAGTCGCGACTCGGATTAGGCTAGGTTACGTGCCTGAGCGAGACAATTAGATTAGATACCGCCGAAAGCTCGAGGAATGCGTAATCGGGGCCGACAGCCGTGCTCCACAAATCATTAGGACGAGGCGATAAATTTAAATCGCGCTACCGTTACATGATAGAACATCTCCGAAGATGTTGCGCGCAGCATCTTCGGAAGTAATACATGTCGTCGACCTTGATACAGTTCAAAATGTTAGAATCTGTAATGACGATACTATCGTGTTTCCAATCGGAATGACCTAAGATGCAACTGAATGATTCACCGAGATATTTTATATCGACCATCAAGTGTTTCTGAAGATAATCGAATCTGTGCTGCGTATCGAGCAATGTCTTTCTCGAGTATTGGACCTATATAAGTACTGATCGAATCATTTCGCTTAAATCGCTGACTCTTCTCTTGTTCTTTGATGATCTCTCTGATGGGAAACTGCATTTTTGTTGACAGATGGAAAGCAAAGATTCAAAGTATCTTGGAAGATCTGAGGGACTATAATAAAGAAAACTCAAAGCTACGATAAGAAAGCTAGCGTAGTAGATATTTCTCATGCAGGAAGGAAGAGAATTTCGTTTTGTTTACGAGATATGCATAACAGAGAGAACGCGTGCGCTCTGACAGGGAGAATCCAGACTTCCAGCTAAGACGGGATCCTCTGATTCATCTTATTTACCGTGAATATTCTTACCCGTTGTGCCGAACTGATCGACCTGATGAGCACCAGAATTTACTCCCGCACCCCCCAGACCGTCCAGATCCTGCCACATTTCCGAAAACTAACACTTCCCGGACGCACGTACGCACAGATTCACCCACCTTCACTCAAGCGCCATTTTCACTGTGTACCCCGTGTACTGCTAAGTACTGACGCTTTATTCGAGCGACTTAACACCTCCGCCGCTGATACTCAAGCGGCATCTACTTGGAGGAGCGACTTACTACACACGCGCGTTTGAATGCAACGGCATTTCATTTCTGATAATAATCAACACTGAATTTCTTCAAATTGCAATTTATAATCTTACAAAGTTATAATCCTACACACAGTCACCGTTGATGCACCTTTCTAAATGAATCCAAGCAAATGTGCAAATATAACATTTGTAATGTACATTGTAAATAGCCCTTAAAAGCAGAAGTTCTATATACCCGCAAAATGTGTTAAACTAAATGTTTTCAATAATTTATCAATTGAATTTTATTTTATAGCCTATTCTTCAAATATACCTTGCCTTGAAAATATCTTGTCATGCGAACGTAAGGTATGAATCGCGTATTATTCTGATAAAAGAATTTGCAACGAACAATTATCGAAAAGCACAAAGATAGACGCAACAATAATTATTTAATAATGTTTAAACGGAACAATTATAGTTTCGAGACTGTCGTTAAAATCCGCGCCAGGTTCGGCGAGCGCTTTTTCAAATCTCACGTCACTGTAGAAGATCTAACAAAAAGTTTTGGTAGTCTCCGAAACACCGGAAACGACCTTCGGTTCGTTTGCCGCCAAAGCAAAGCCGTGTGTTGCAACGAAATTGTTTACCGTTTCATTCGAGATTGTTCGTCTTCCGATAGATTGATTATTAAAGTTTGACGCGAAATACAGAGCCCGATAAACGGCTGGTAAAAATCGTGGTCGTGAAGTTTACGTATTTTTGGTGAAATTGATCGTTAAACAAAGTCGACGATGGCCAAAGTTCAGCTAGTGAATGTAGCAGTCCTCGACAATCCTTCACCGTTTTTAAACCCGTTCCAGTTCGAAGTCACTTTCGAATGTATCGAAGAACTAAAAGAAGGTAGCGTTTCTCATTTTCCTCGTCCTGCAAAACTTATTATGTGGATTGATATCCATGCTGCTCGCGAGTTAAAATCCGTTCAAATTTTTTTTAGCAATCGTGCTAGGTTAACTTTAACGATTTTACTCGTGATTTTTCTGAGGATAAACCACTGTATATTCTTTGTTAATTAAAACATTAATATTCAATTTCAATGTACCGCATACTAACATTGACATCCTCTTATACAGTCTGAGTAGAATATTGTACTATTGACAATGATGTTGTAGATCTGGAATGGAAGATGATATACGTTGGCAGTGCAGAATCTGAAGAGTTTGATCAAGTGCTAGACACAATTTACGTTGGTCCAATTCCTGAGGGGAGGCACATGTTTATATTCCAGGTAAATTCACATTGCTTGAACATTGATTGAGTCAGCAACAAAATATATATTAATACATTATGTTTATAGGCTGATCCTCCTGACGTCAGTAGAATCCCAGTAAACGACGCTCTTGGAGTCACAGTTGTTCTGTTAACTTGTTCATACAGAGGACATGAATTTGTGCGTGTTGGTTACTTTATAAATAACGAATATACAGATGCAGAACTTAGAGAGAATCCACCGGCACAGCCACAGTTTGACAAAGTGCAAAGAAACATCTTAGGTGACAAGCCGAGGGTCACTAGATTCAAAATAAATTGGGATGATGGAGCTAGCTCGGCGACAAATAATGTGCCTGAAGGGATGGATGCACATTCATTGGAAGAAACATCTCAAGACGCGCCTACATCTACATTGGGTTTCACAGAAAGTACACATAACAGTATGGAAGTGATGTGAATGTTTGTCGATTGCCAATAATACATAAGTTAGCGCAGACCATAATACGATGAATGATGTAGTATGTACCTGGAACGAAGATTGAAAAAGATATTTGGATACTTTAATGTATAAACTCTACAAAAGAATGGATAGCCTTTTATATGATACATTGTTAATTTCCCTTCTGTTTTAAAAAGAACTCGTTCATTGAAACTTATGTGACGTATAATGTGATAATTTGAATATTGAGCAACATTAAAAAACTTATTATTAAAAAATATNGAGTTAGTTTGATCGCACATGAAATATAAGACAAGGTTATTTTCATGCTATCATTGAGTTAATAAACATTCAAGAAAACGGGTATTAACTTCTTATAATTGAAAAATGATCGCATTTTGATATTTTAGAGATATTTGGAACTTTGAATTTGATACTTTAAGTATTATGTATCATGTGCTTATTATTGTATCGTAAATGAATAGAAATAAGGCTGTTTCCACTTTATCAGTGTATGTACATATACTAAACTGAGAAAAATACATATTATGTTTTTTACTTCATTACATTTTGCTTTTTGAATGATTCACCTTCGCTACAATATTTATGCTACTAATAGCAGGTTTTAGGTGCGTTTCATTGTTCAGTGCTACTTACTGCTATTACTGTTTTTGTAACGTAAATGAAAACTGCTAGAAGTTTTCCTTTTTAGGATCATATATTGTAAGATAAAGTAAATGCACTTTCGCTATCTCGAACGTGGATCTTAGATATAATCGTCCTTTCATTACATAATCATGATAAGCACACCCTTTTACAATCTTGAATTTATCGAAAACTATTTTTTTTTCTCTCAGTATAAATAGAAGCAACTATTTCAAAGAAGTTCATTTCTTACATTTACCGTCGCGTAGTTTAGTTCGTTAATGCATTTTATGCTAATGCAAGTGTAAAGTTTGTAATATTAGAATCCATCAAGCAACAATGAATCGTTCAGTACCAGTTAAAGAGGCAGTAATAGAAGTCGTAAGTAATCATAATGAATGTATATGTATATACTTTGCGAATTGATCGCACTGTAAATGGTACGCAGTATCTACATATTCATCTGTGAATTATAATATGTAATTATATTTTATAAGATGGCTACAAAGTCAGTAGCTATGACAGATGCGCGTCCGAATCGGCCTCCAGTTTGGGTCAGACGAAACTTAAATTATAATCCAAACCGCGTACAGTGAGTAGATATACATTTCTAACATTCGACATAGATCATACATTCAATTATGAAAATATAATAGGAATAATAGTTTATTTTTCTCAATAGGCAACAACAAGAAAATGAAGATTCATCTAGGAATGAGAATAACAATAATAAAAGTTAAAATCTTTTGACCATTTACAACATATTCGATAAATATCGAACACATGACTTTGTCACAACTTCTATTTACAAATTCAAGCAAGTTCTTTTAGTTAAATATAGAGAATCTTCTAATATATGTTATTGTCATTATTTATCCCCATCTGAAACTACTACAGCGTGTCTGAATAATGAAAATCAATTCAGATTACATTACTTTCATTCGATAGAATAAAAAACGAAATAATTGAAGTTTCCAAAAAACTGAATAATTGTGTATGAATTATTTTAGAAGTAACTCGGGGTAAAAGGTACTGCGTTTAGGGCTAGGAACAAAACGCAGTCTTTTTTGTTCGCGAACACTTACAACCCTGTTCGAATTTCGAATTGCGCACAATTGTCTCGCTCCCTCGCTGCGGCTTCTGTAGCCGCAGAAACGAGATCGGTCGGGCCCATTGTTTGTGGAGAACGGTGGACCGTCATAATACAGCTACACCACTGCCACCACCCCCACTACCTGTACTCCTCTGGAGCAGGTTCGAACACGTTCAGTTTCACGCCGACTCCGGCGATTAGCGACGTTAGATCGCAGGTGAATTTCGTACGGTGTGCAAGTGTTTCGTCACGTGCCAGATCGCGCGCGAATGAGCCTGTCAACTGTCTGTGGACGATTATTGCGCGCATGCAAATACCATCAAGGGAATAATACGTATTTTCGCCCTTTATACGCGTGCATCGTGTCTTCCAATGGTGAGTAGCAACCAATTTTTTAATTCCTCTACCCACGTCTCATCTCTCACCTCTTCCGCCTGTCAATCTTTAATCACGTTTTATCAAACGAGTTTCACCGTCCGACTTAACACGTAATTGCTCTGTACTCTGTTGCTACATATGCGATATTAAATTGATGGTGTGGCGAATGCAGGTTAAAGAAAAATATATAACGAGATCAGACGTAATCTGTTTCCAACGTAAATGAATTTTGCAATTCCCGAAACTTACCAGTCTGGATCAACAAGTTCAAGATACATGCGCTTATCAGGAATGGTGTCCTATTTCCTAACGGAATTAGAAACAAGTTTACTAACATGGTTTACGGTATCGATTGATGAGCCGTGGATCAAATCACGATACTACTGTTATCCATTCCGCCGCTTCTCATTGTTCTGACAAATAAAAAGAGTTCATTAAGATTAGCAACCCCACATTAAGATTTCATCATCTTTATTTGAAATCTGATGATTTTCTTCATTGCCAATTAATCAATCGGAAAACCGTGGTTCATTCGATTAATCACTATTTTCCTTTGTAAACAGATTTATTTTGTTGCGGAGAGCTCCGCAATTGTTATCACTAACACCTTCCACTTTATTCGTCTTATATCGAAACTGAATTTTCATCCGAACAAGTAAAATTGATTAGATAGAAATATGAAGACTTTACTTTCATTATAATGCGCAGTAATTCGTATAAATCGCAGTGTGATCTTGTTAGAACCGGAATATGTGCCCCTCGATTCTAGGTACCAGGTCGTGCGACGATGAGTCACTCGACCACCATTTTTTTTTTTTTTTCGTCGGGAATCTCTGGAGCCAGTGCAAAGCGAGATACTTACCTTTCTATCATAAAGAAGTAGGAAAGAATAACTTTAAATAAGTAACTTTCTATTTCTTCCCATGATTCATTGATAATATTATTTCATTTTAATAAACGATTACAAGTTATTATTCCGAACAATGAATCCTTCAGCGTTGCGAATATCAAATGTCAATCAACAATGTGTATCTTTGCTGTCTTCACTGGCAATTTTTACATAAATACAGAAATTCTCTATTAATAATTAGATTGGCGAACTTTTAAAAAAGCAATATTTACGAAATAAAAACGTAGCGATTATCACGTTCCTCGCGCGAATGCCGCAAACATTGTTTGCTATCGTGTAATATGTAGTACAGTTATCAATTAAAAGAGAGTATGAGATAATATGCCACGAAAATCGATACATGTTATTAAAATTGTATTGATTCAGATGGATAATCCAGTGATAAGAATTCACTTTGTAGTTGATTAAGTGCGCATTTTACAACATTGTTGAAACCAATGTACGTATTTCAAACGGTAATAATTAATTGATAAAAGAGAAATGTGCATGAAAATATACGGTTGATTTATAATACAAAATATGAAGCGAGTTCAACCTATTCAATACGTAATTGATGCTGTCGACAATAGAATTATTCTTACATATTTACATTTCTTAGAAGTTGAAGAAGTGTCTAACCGAAAAAATACAGCACGTCATACTTGCGGTCAATGTACTGTGCGTGCTCTGAAATGGAGGATACTTGCAATCAAAATGGTTGCTGATGTTCGAAAACTGCAGACTCACGCATCTCTGCAACCGAATCAGTTCATCCGATCTACTAACGATAAAATTACGATCCATTTTTATTCGTGAACATTTAGTAAATTTAAAAAAAAAACTCTTAAAGCTGACTTGATATTGTCAACATTTTTAATTTTCTGATTATGACATGATATTGTTTAATAAATTTCTACATATGGGAAATGTTTAATATAACTTTCAGATTATTACTGTAACCATCGAATTATTGAAAAAGAAATTACGTATTAGTAAAATGATCGTTTAATCTAGAAATGTAGGTCGTAGGCAGTAGAGTCCTTGGACTTTAGACCGGAAGTGCCGCGCGTTCCTTACCCTGTCTTTCCTTATGTACGAAACAAACGCGACTTCTGAGTACTCCTAATTTTCAAATATAATTTGTTCCTCGAGTTTTAATTCGATAGGTAAAACATTTTATGATAGAAAAATGATTTTTAATTAATATAGATATTTTGCACATGTTTCTCTTTCAGGCTACGACAGAGGGAAAATCTTGTCATGACGACAGTGACTGTTCAAAGAAACAGTACTGTTATCACGTAGCGAAATTATGCGTGGATTATACGCAGTGTATTAGATATAACAGAGAAGAAAATGCTGAAAAGGGAGCAAGAGATCCATCTCAATGTGGACCCTGCCTTCCCGGGTAATAAAATTATCGATATTCTCCTTTTTCCTAGTTTTAACGATTTTTAATCGAGACTTCGAATGATCGCAGATATACCGCCGACGAATTAGTTACGGGAGAGATGGCAATGCTATGCAAAAAAACCAATAATCAGGAAAACACATTCGGTAAGAAACATACTCGTTTAACTGTTTCTAACCGAGTTTCATTTTAATATGCTTTGTTTCATATAGAAGAAGATGGGCAAGGCAATAATACGCTGGTCTACGTAATGGTAGTTGTGTTGGTTTTCGTTCTTGCTGCTTGTATCCTCATTTATTTATTTTGTCGAAGACGTAAGTAATAAGTATCGATATACGTAAATAGGAGCGAAGAAATACAGGTTTGAAGTTAATTTTTTGCTATGAAATGTTATTAGGTTCGCCAAAGAGACAAGGAAAAATGAAACTGGGCCAAGAACTTCTCGCGGTGGAACCAACTGCCCCGCCGTTAGAAAACAGTAAGTACCGTGTTCGTTATGGATTGATATATTTCTTAATTGCACATAGCTTTTAATATTTGGCGTAACACTAAACCGAAAACATATTTTCTACAATAGCACAAAAGTACGACACTCGTTTGCTATTAACCAAGTGGGTAGATTTGGAAGCTTCCCACCCGTTTTTCTTCATACAATTCGAAAATAGCTATCCTCACGTACTTCCTCTTTTATGCGATTAGAAAAAAAAGAAAAACCGCTGAATAAAGTTACCGATATCTAGCACCGTAGTTCGTAGCTTCTACATCTTAAATGTCTTCACTCTTTAACACTATGTGTATGTTTTGAATCTACTAACCGTGAATAGAAACGGTTAATTCGTTTTTATACGAAGCATACAATTATTTTACAGTATACCTACCTACTTGAACGCCGAATTAACTACGAGCGGTTCTGAGCGCGGTAATAATATGTATAGAATAATGTATGTTATATCGACGGTGTCGACGAGTGTCTGGGTAAGGTGCTCTACAAATTACTGCTTTTCAGGTACTTTGATTAGTTACAAAGAAACGTCCCCCGTCTCGTCGAACAACAATCAGAATTTAAAGGACAAGAATAGACTCGCACGCGCTTCGGGTTACGTGCCTCCCAGATGGATTCGACCAAATCCGAATTACAACGATTCAGGTAACGAAAACCTGAATGTCATGGACCAAATGAACGCTGTATCTAATACATCAGCCGGTGACAATTCGAACTGGGCGCCAGAGTAAGTAATTATTATTTAACGATTTTATAAGTTCGTCCACGAATATATTGACATATAAATATTTTGCTACAGGCAATTGGCAATCGAAGTCACCGACGGAGATGTAATTGGATACGCAAGGGAGCAGATTGACAACACCTTAAATACGGTTTTAGTCCAAGCGAATAATCCTCCTTCATTTAACGCCGCACAAGGAAATAATAGTAATAACAACGATGATAATAATAATGCTTCGTCATCCGGATCGGACAGTGCTCAAGGCAGTCGAGAACGTGGCCGAACATCGAATATTCTGATCTCCCAGAAAATATCTATGAACGTAAATTTAATTAATGGCGATTCCTGATCTCGAACGCGTCGCGTTCAAACTGTACATAAATTATTAAGAGCCATATTTAAATAATGCGACATCAAACTTAGAATGTTTGTAGCGAACAAGAAGTTGCTATGCCTCTTCGACAGACAAACTGTATTCAATCTTTTTCATAGACTCGAGAAGAAAACTGATCGAAATTTTATCATACCATCAAACATATCGTAATTTGGGACCATGATATTATGAAGTAATAATTCAAGCTTAAGAAGCAGAAATTATATTTTGGACAGTCAGCTAAACCGAGTCTAGTCAATAAGTCTAAGTGTATACAACTGACTGTTACAATTTTACGATACCTAAAATCTAACGATTCTATGCTCACTTTAATAATTCACGATTTCTTTGGAATGCAATTTAATAGAGTTTTAATCTATAGAAAATGTAAATCGACATTACGATCGTGCATAAATATTACATCTTATTTATTTTCGTCCTTCACAGTTCACATTTTAAAAATTAATAGTGAATGCATCAATTGCAGAAAGAAGTATACTGTCTATTACATTTGATGTCGATGGCTGGTTAAGCTTCTCCGCATATTTTTAGATATTAAGTAATATTGTTTTTGTTATTTTCATACGAGCGTGGTAATCTTTTTATAACCAGTATATTCCATAATTAATGTATGCCAATACTAAATATTCTTGAGATTAAGGATAATTGAATATATTAGACAAAAAGTGCTCAATGGTTTGCGGCACGTCGTGTTGGCGAACAATTACACGTAAAAAAAATGTGATAAGTTTCATGATAAAGAAATATCTATGTTAGACATAGTTCTTGTTAATTAGTAATACTTATAGTATCATAAAAATGGATTAAAGTTTCCCTTGTTCTCGAATGTTTCGAAACGAAATATAATATCTAAACAATCATTCACAAGAAACATTACACTTGTGATGTAATTTTAAGAGCTTAAAATTGTTTAAAACTATGTTAACATGTTTTTTTTAGAACATGGTACTCTACATACTTAAGATCTGTAAATGTTATTATAAATTATGTTATCAATAAGATACTCTGACACTTATACACATATTGTAACTCCATACAATTTTTATATACTCCATTTTATCAGGCGATTCCTGATCTCGAACGCGTCGCGTTCAAACTGTACATAAATTATTAAGAGCCATATTTAAATAATGCGACATCAAACTTAGAATGTTTGTAGCGAACAAGAAGTTGCTATGCCTCTTCGACAGACAAACTGTATTCAATCTTTTTCATAGACTCGAGAAGAAAACTGATCGAAATTTTATCATACCATCAAACATATCGTAATTTGGGACCATGATATTATGAAGTAATAATTCAAGCTTAAGAAGCAGAAATTATATTTTGGACAGTCAGCTAAACCGAGTCTAGTCAATAAGTCTAAGTGTATACAACTGACTGTTACAATTTTACGATACCTAAAATCTAACGATTCTATGCTCACTTTAATAATTCACGATTTCTTTGGAATGCAATTTAATAGAGTTTTAATCTATAGAAAATGTAAATCGACATTACGATCGTGCATAAATATTTCATCTTATTTATTTTCGTCCTTCACAGTTCACATTTTAAAAATTAATAGTGAATGCATCAATTGCAGAAAGAAGTATACTGTCTATTACATTTGATGTCGATGGCTGGTTAAGCTTCTCCGCATATTTTTAGATATTAAGTAATATTGTTTTTGTTATTTTCATACGAGCGTGGTAATCTTTTTATAACCAGTATATTCCATAATTAATGTATGCCAATACTAAATATTCTTGAGATTAAGGATAATTGAATATATTAGACAAAAAGTGCTCAATGGTTTGCGGCACGTCGTGTTGGCGAACAATTACACGTAAAAAAAATGTGATAAGTTTCATGATAAAGAAATATCTATGTTAGACATAGTTCTTGTTAATTAGTAATACTTATAGTATCATAAAAATGGATTAAAGTTTCCCTTGTTCTCGAATGTTTCGAAACGAAATATAATATCTAAACAATCATTCACAAGAAACATTACACTTGTGATGTAATTTTAAGAGCTTAAAATTGTTTAAAACTATGTTAACATGTTTTTTTTAGAACATGGTACTCTACATACTTAAGATCTGTAAATGTTATTATAAATTATGTTATCAATAAGATACTCTGACACTTATACACATATTGTAACTCCATACAATTTTTATATACTCCATTTTATCTTTCTGTGCCATTATCACTTTTCTATACGAATTACATGGAATGACATACATATATCATAAATAAAGGGCATTGACGTAATAAATATGATCTCTGACGGTCAAGAACATTTTACGATGTAGCATTTCATTATAAATTAAGAAAAATAAAATACAACAAGAATTGCAGTTTATTATTGACGTCAAATCTACCTATCGCATGAAACCCATTTTCGGTCACTTGCGAAGAATAAGGTAAAGAAGTTCGTTCCCTTCGTCGACTTTAAGAAAGGTTTTTAAAACTACTTACATTATAGAATTAAAATCTTTACTTACAACAGCGAGACATCTTATTTCATTTGCCATAACACGAATGAAAAACTAATAAACGCGAAAGGACTGTCTGCACATTTCAAAGATTTTTAAGAGACTGAGTTCACGTTTCTGGTAATTACGCATGTGTTAGTGTGACTTACTAACATACGTGTAAGATTTGAGAAATTTCGATCATAGCGCAACGTAGATTTCAGTTAGATTTGAGAAACTGCTTGCTCAAAGAATGATACTGGAGTTTAAACTAATGCTGACATGTGTCTTAGTTTCTAGCGAGCCGATTTTAATGAATCGCGATTGAAATTAAAACAAATTTACATGCAAAGAACATCATCTTGAACAATCTGGTTTAACCAATTCGAATCGCTAGTAGCAAAGTGTTGGCGCTTGTAGTATATGCTAAGGTTCTCAGTTTTCATGGCGTCATACTTGGCTTCATTGTCAATCGGAAATGTGAGGGATACAGTGATGAGTGGTTGTGCCAGCCAAAGATCCTATTGGATTTTTTAGAATGGCTATTATCAGTTTAATACTTATCCTGATTACATTCTCTTATAGGCTGATGTTGTTTTCCAATGGTACGTGCATCTATTCCCGTCTTCGGTAGAGGTTACTCCATAGATTGTTTCCCATTAAACAAACGCTCTTTGCATTATATTAAATTTATTTTTGTACCACTACGACTGTTTATAAGTCATTTCTCAAAACCTCTCCTTTCGACCAACGATTCCAAGTGAATTTTTCTTACCGTCATTATCTTTGCTGTCATCTAAACATTGTGTTTTAAATCGTAGGATCGCCAACACTTCTGTTTGTTACGCAAAAGGATATTAGAATGGCCAATGTCTCCCGTACTAATAAAGTGACTACTATTATCAAAGATCTCGCTGAAGGTGCTGCTATAGATTTCTATTTTGAGAAGAATTTAGTGTGCTGGTCAGACAGCGGTCTAGAAATAATTCAGTGTGTACAAACAAATGGCACTCACACCAGCGAAAGAACAATCGTCGTGAACTCGAGTTTGATTTCTCCCGATGGTTTGGCTTGTGACTGGTACACGGGAAAACTGTATTGGACGGACGGAGAGAAAAACAGGATAGAAGTGACTAGCATCGATGGCCAGCACAGAAAGGTCCTCTTTTGGACGGATATCTATCAGCCGAGAGCCATTGCTCTTGTGCCGATGAAGAGCATACTTTTCTGGACCGATTGGGGTGATATACCAAAAATAGAAAGAGCGGCAATGAACGGGGATCCATCGACGAGAGAAGTGATTATTTCCGATGATATATTTTGGCCAAACGGTTTGACGGTGGATTACGAGAACGAGCTGGTTTATTGGGTGGACGGAAGACTAAGATTTATTGCGGTGATGGATTACTATGGAAAGAATAGAAAGAAAGTAATAGATCAAGGATTGGATTATCCCTTTGCAGTAACGTTTTTCGATCACAAATTGTACTGGACCGATTGGAAAACTTGGTGTGTACATTCATACGATGTTCATCAGACTCAGTCACATCCTAGAGAATTGCTGCATGGAGAATATATTCCCGGAGACATAGAAGTTTGGGATGTGAGAAGACAACCGCGCGGAAATCATCCTTGCGAGAAGAATAATGGCAACTGCTCGCATTTGTGTCTTTTAAGCATGACCGAGCCTGGGTACAGTTGCGCGTGCCCTACGGGTGTTAAGCTAATAGATAATTATACTTGCGCCGATGGACCAGAGGAATTATTGTTAATAGTTCAGAGGAATGAAATTTGTCGAATTTCTTTGGACTCGCCGGATTACACAAACTTCGTATTACCGCTAACAGGTATCAAGCACGCAATAGCGATAGATTTTGATCCCGTACAAGAGATGCTTTATTGGACGGACGAGGAAGCTTTCGCGATTCGCAGAGCTTCGCTAGATGGTTCTAATCAAGAAAATATCATAACGACGGAAGTTGAAAATCCAGATGGGATAGCTATCGATTGGTTAGCTCGTAATCTTTACTGGACGGATACAGGAACGGATCGAATCGAAGTAGCGAGATTGAATGGAACAAGTAGGAAAGTATTGATAAACGAGGATTTAATCGAGCCGAGGGCGATCGCGTTAGCTCCAGAATTGGGATGGATGTTCTGGACGGACTGGAATGAAAAGCGGCCGAAAATAGAGCGCAGCAATCTCGATGGTACTGAACGTGTTCTTCTAGTAAGCAAAGACATCGTTTGGCCTAATGGAATTGCTCTGGATCTCGTAAGGTGGAAGATTTATTGGTGCGACGCAAAAACGGATAAGATCGAGGTATGTAATATGGATGGCACTGATAGAAGGGAAGTAATTACGGATAATCTTCCGCATCTCTTTGGATTAAGTTTGTTAGGAGATTACCTGTATTGGACCGATTGGCAACGGCGTAGCGTAGACAGAGCGCATAAACTTACGGGCGACGAAAGGGAAGTCATTGTTGATCAGGTTCCAAATGTCATGGGTTTGAAAGCGGTGCATTTAGGAAAAGTTAACGGCAGTAATCCCTGCACGAAGAAGAACGGTGGCTGCAGCCACTTGTGTTTAAATCGGCCTGGGAACAAATACGTGTGTGCCTGCCAAATCGGATACGAGTTAACGAAAGATAAGAAAACGTGCGTCGTACCAGATGCGTTTATGTTGTTCGCAAGAAAAGAAAGTATCGGCAGGATCAGCATCGAAAATGCGAATAACGATAACATCATCCCGTTGACCGGAGTTAAGGATGCAACCGCCTTAGATTTTAACATAGCGGACAATCGAATTTATTGGACTGATGTTAAGTTAAAAACTATTACGAGAGCTTTTATAAATGGTTCGGAGATGGAAAGAGTTGTTGATCTTGGTTTAGAAACACCGGAAGGCTTAGCGATAGATTGGATCGCTCACAATTTATATTGGAGTGACACAGGAACTCGAAGGATAGAGATGGTTCGATTGGAAGGCTGTAGTCGTAAGGTTCTTGTTTGGAGCAATATTATCGAACCTAGGTGTTTGGCTCTGGATCCCAACAGAGGCCATATGTATTGGACAGAATGGGGAAATTCGGGGAGCATAGAAAAATCATTTTTGGATGGAACACACCGCGAAACGATACTTCCTAATATCGGAAAAGCAAACGGACTAACGATCGATCACTCAACGCGAAAATTGTATTGGGCAGACTTATACACGCCAGCTATCGACAGCTTCGATCTACGCACAAGAAAAGGGAACACGATTATAACCGAAAATATTGTTTATCCATTCAGTATTACTCAGTATCAGGATTATATTTATTGGACAGATTGGAATACAGGCGATATAGAGAGGGCTAATAAAACTAACGGAGCTAACAGAGTGAAGATACACGATAAAGTAGAATCTGTGACGGATCTGCTGGTCTTCCATGCGTCTAGGCAAGCAGGATGGAATCCTTGCGCGTTAAACAACGGAAATTGCACTCACCTCTGTATAGCTTTGCCTGGGGAGAACGAGAGCGTATCCAATTCTTCCAGATGCGCGTGTCCTACTCATTACAATCTCGCAGAAGACAACAAGACTTGCATTGCACCGCAGAGTTTTATGATGTACAGTGTACGCAATGCAATTTATCGCTTTCTCCCTGACACCGACGACTGCCCAGACGTAGTCCTCCGAATTCAAGGTTTGAAACACGTTCGAGCTATAGAATTTGATCCTATAACTCAACACATTTATTGGATAGATGGTCGAACTTCATCTGTCAAAAGAACTTTGGAGAATAAGACTCATTCCAGTATAATGATATCTGGAAACTCTGGGCATCCGGTGGATCTTGCTCTGGACGCCCTGGGAAGATTATTATTCTGGTCCTGCTCCGAAAACGATGCAATCAACGTAACGAAACTTGACAACGGTTCTGCGCTGGGCGTCGTAGTCAAAGGCGACGGCGAGAAACCGAGGAATATCGCGATACATTCGGAGAAGAGGCTGCTCTTTTGGACGGACATCGGGAGAAAGATGAGAGTGATGCGCAGTAAAATGGACGGGAAGGAAAGGATCGTGATAGCGACCGACCTCGAACAGCCGACGAGCATCGCGGTAGATGCAACGTCGAACGTCGTGTACTGGGCACACGGGAGTCAGATCGAGTGCGCGGAGTTCGATGGGAAGAATAGGAGGACTCTGGTTTCTTCTGTCGGACAAGGATCGACCGCTTACCTCTCTGTCTCCGGCGATTTTATTTACTGGTTTGACAGGGGAATATCGAGTCTCGAACGTATTAACAAATTTGGAAGTGACAGAAAAGCGATCATAAATAAAGCACTCACTGACTTAATTACGATACGTACTCCACAAGATGACGTGATGAAGACGCACATTTGCAGTCCGTTCCGCGATTACGGAGGATGTTCGCATTTTTGTATAGGAACCACATCTTCCAGGTACGAATATTTCTCATATTTAGTCAGTGGATTTTCTCTGACTTACCCAAGAAATTGTTTTTAGATGCTCCTGCCCGAAATCTTTGGTCTTATCGGAAGACGAGAAAACTTGCAGAGCTGCGCCAGCTTGTGGTACAGATCATTTTACTTGTGCCGCACCTAACTCTGCGATACCGAAAGATTGTATACCCGCGACATGGAAATGCGACGGTCAGACCGATTGCCCCGACGGGAGCGATGAACTAGGCTGTCCTGCTTGCAGTCGTGATCAATTTAAGTGTCAAAGTGGTCACTGCATTGGTAAGGTTATTGAGATGAGTGTATCAGTTTGATGAGAACCTGCTGCTACTGGTACATCGTTGTAAACAAATTTTTTAGATATGTCCTGGGTGTGCGACGGAACAGCTCAGTGCCATGACGGTCTGGACGAAGCCCATTGCTGTCGTCAGGGCCAATTCCAGTGCATCGGAAACGGTGTTTGCATCCCCGGTTCTCTCGTCTGTAACGACTGGGAAGACTGTGCCGACGGTAGTGACGAATTCCCCTCTTCGTGCAGTCGCCCTGGTAATTCGCGAGATGGGCACAGTTCGTTAGAATCCGGGAAAATTGCCTACGTTATTATCGTGCCTATTGGATTGATCGTGACGATCGCCACAATCGCTTTCGGATTTTATTATTGCCGAAGGAAATTCATGAGCAACGAAGAGCTGCCCGATATCTTGCACGATTCAGCTGGCGATCCTCTGTCACCGAAACCGGCGAGGCTAGCAAAACCGATGTTTGCGCAAAAGAACTGTAGAAAAGATTTGAAAATCGGAATGGAGACTGTACGAATGTCGATGCTGAATGGGAGTAGCATAGGATCTAGTTATGATCGGAGTCACATCACTGGGGCATCGAGTTCGACCAGAGGGAGCTCGACTGGGGGTTATCCCCAGGAGACGCTGAATCCTCCTCCGAGCCCAGCGACTACGGCCAATTCTACGAGGTGCTCGAGCAGTAATGCGTCCAGGTACAAACCTTATAGGCATTATAGAAGCATAAACCAACCACCGCCTCCGACTCCTTGCAGCACAGATGTCTGCGACGAGTCTGACAGCAATTATCCTGCCAGGTATCGGTACGAAAGTGAACCGTATCCACCACCTCCCACCCCGAGATCTGTTTACCAAAGCGACGCTGGGATCAGTTGTCCGCCTTCTCCCAGCTCACGATCCTCTACCTATTTCAGTCCACTACCACCGCCTCCTTCTCCAGTTCCTTAAATTTCTCGACGATTGCAACGATTTAGACTTATTTTCATTGATAAATTCTCATGTATCTTTTGATAGATGAAAATTTATATTCTTCGAAGTTGTGAAACAGAGACAGAAACTTTTAAATCGGGATATTGAAAAATGTTTTAGTTGTTTGTAATAATTTTATAATTTGATAATTACGTTTTATAAACTGAATGTTGGATATTACGGAATTTTTTTAGTAACAAAACTTTATACGCGATAGTTGTGTATTTCTTGCCAAACGAAATTTCAGAGTTTTATTTGATAGTTTTTCTTGTAACGTTATCGAAGTTGTTTAAGCAATGATGTGCATTTATACAAGAACTTTTTAATGCTTGTCTCTGTAAAAAGTTTATACCATTGTGCCTCTTAACTTTACAATGTAAGTAATTTCAATCGTAAAAAAACTGTAAATAGTGTAACGATGTATAAAAATTGTATATGACTTTTAACGATTAAGACATACGTTGATTAAAACAGGAGATTCCTTTTCGCGTCTCTACTATTTTTAGGTGTGTAAGACGATAATTATAGTCTTACTTTTAAAAGTATACGTACGATAGATAGCGAGTAAGGAATTAAACGCGTAAATTTCATATTTACAACTAAAACATATCAACAAACAAACTAAGATAGTAAGCGTAGCAATAACTGTTAAATTTCGTTTCCATACAAGTAGAAGAATCGACAATTATTTCGAACGAAAACGGAATCAAAATAGGTAACAAACTATGATAATTAAATAACGTAAGAACATTTACTAATCGTAAAAAAGAAAATATTCCATGATTTTCGATCAGGGAAACGAGAGACACGTTGTATTTATTTACATTTTTACGTGACTGTTAATCGGTACGCGGAAAGTTGATAAGTTACAATTTTTATATAATTACGTAAACGTAAACGTAAAATAACGCTGTTCCTGCAATTTTTTCATCGGACTGTGCCATAAAGTAGTTAGAATACTTGCTAAACGAAATTCAAAATTCAAAATTCAAAATTGTATATACGAGGTGTACGATAGGTTCGCGTGTGTGAAAAAATGATTTCTACCTCGCACTGTTATACGAGTCTTGAGAGAACGCTTTAGTGCCCGCTCGATTGCCGAAGTCTCAAGTTCGCGTTCAAACACCTGTTCCAGGGATTCCGGACAATTACGAATTGTCTGGCACGCGGAAAAAGTATTTTTTTTAAGAACGCGTTAGCAAAAGTGTCTTTCAGGTATCTTCCAAGCGGCAATCGAGTCAACACTATCGTACATATATGTTCTATTAAATTATTAATTCTCGTTTTACATTAAAGACTGAAGCAATTCTTCTATATATTTCTTTTACATTTACAACGAAAACTATATTATCCTATACATATGTAGCATAATTGTATAAAGAAATAAAACTTTTGTTACATATTTTATACGATACTTATTATCATTCTCTATGTAAAATGATTTGAAAATTATGTATACTCCGATAATTCGAAAAAAAATATATATTATTAAATATTAACTCTACACCTCGAATTAATATCTCCCTCTAATAGTTCATACAATTATTGTTTATTCCTTCTATTTAAGTACAAAAACGTATGTGATTTAACATATAATATATATATATATATACTTTTTTTTATTAAAATTTATTTACTATTTACACACGCAATATCTGTGTACAATCGAAGAACGTAGAAATATTAATAAAAACATTGAATAGAATACTATGTATACTAATTCACTATACAGACGCGATATTTACATTAGTCCTTTCTTATTCCTACCTATTTTATACACATTTTACAGGCTGACGCGCGCCACAACTATTCTTAACACCATTTTGCCACTTCCCTTTTTGTACAAATATACATACTTAAATTTCTCTGCTAAAATTATAAATAATTGTTCCTCAGGCACAGGTACGGTCCATTCTTGACGGCAGTCAATTATCATTATTTATTCTCAAGCCGCTGCTTAACTTAGATATTAAAATGTTGGAAATTCTTCAACTACGTGTGTCCAAATATTAAAAGCTGATTTTATTATATTTTATATACACTGAATAATAATAACGAGTCTTGAGAGAACGCTTTAGTGCCCGCTCGATTGCCGAAGTCTCAAGTTCGCGTTCAAACACCTGTTCCAGGGATTCCGGACAATTACGAATTGTCTGGCACGCGGAAAAAGTATTTTTTTTAAGAACGCGTTAGCAAAAGTGTCTTTCAGGTATCTTCCAAGCGGCAATCGAGTCAACACTATCGTACATATATGTTCTATTAAATTATTAATTCTCGTTTTACATTAAAGACTGAAGCAATTCTTCTATATATTTCTTTTACATTTACAACGAAAACTATATTATCCTATACATATGTAGCATAATTGTATAAAGAAATAAAACTTTTGTTACATATTTTATACGATACTTATTATCATTCTCTATGTAAAATGATTTGAAAATTATGTATACTCCGATAATTCGAAAAAAAATATATATTATTAAATATTAACTCTACACCTCGAATTAATATCTCCCTCTAATAGTTCATACAATTATTGTTTATTCCTTCTATTTAAGTACAAAAACGTATGTGATTTAACATATAATATATATATATATATACTTTTTTTTATTAAAATTTATTTACTATTTACACACGCAATATCTGTGTACAATCGAAGAACGTAGAAATATTAATAAAAACATTGAATAGAATACTATGTATACTAATTCACTATACAGACGCGATATTTACATTAGTCCTTTCTTATTCCTACCTATTTTATACACATTTTACAGGCTGACGCGCGCCACAACTATTCTTAACACCATTTTGCCACTTCCCTTTTTGTACAAATATACATACTTAAATTTCTCTGCTAAAATTATAAATAATTGTTCCTCAGGCACAGGTACGGTCCATTCTTGACGGCAGTCAATTATCATTATTTATTCTCAAGCCGCTGCTTAACTTAGATATTAAAATGTTGGAAATTCTTCAACTACGTGTGTCCAAATATTAAAAGCTGATTTTATTATATTTTATATACACTGAATAATAATTAAAAAAATACGAAATGACAGAAGAATCATAGAAATGTTTCGATTAGGAATGTGATACGATCTCTTGCCGTCAAAAAAATCGATTGCATCCTTGTTCAAATCGAACAATCAGCAAACGATTAAAACGTTTATTAATAATTCAATAAAAGCGCAGATTGTTTCAGAGATTTTCTTGACACGGAGGAGGTACTTAAAATTTTGGCGCGCGCATTTACCTCGATGTAAAACCTTTATCGGACATGTTTTCTTCGCTTTCAATTATAAAGTAAGGCACGAATACGAAATCTTAATTGCCTAATACGTCCTTTTCCTTGTGAACAATAATTGTATTTAATACTTATTACGCTCAATACTAACTGATTAACTTCAAATTCATTGGGATAATTCACCGACGATACTCTACTTGTACGAATAGAGAGCTACGAAACAAGAGCAGTCAGACTTATCAAGAGTTTCGGACGATCGATAAAAATTTTCTTAGAGAAATTTGAAACTCTTCTAGTGCCTTAATTGTATAAATGTTTAAGAAACCGAGTATACTATCGAAAAACGGAATCATTCACTAACCATTTCAGTTTCCTCCTTCTCTCGAACGACTTATTCTTATTTCCTCCATTATTGAAATAGTTTACTAGACAAAGCTTAGCGAGTCGTCAACGACATCCACACCCGAGGACGGCCATATCTTGATAATTTTTTAAGACCACTTTGTTCTCTTCGTCGAGATAAAGCATGGATATCGAGCTGAGCGCAGTGGGCACGCAACAGGCCTTCGGCACCATGCTCGGTTTCGTCGAGTAAACCAAATTTTGGACGATCGCGTGATTCGTCGAGTTCAAGTGATCCGCTAAAGGGAAAGGGCAATCGCCGTGACAATAAAACGCGTCGTAACCGGGAGGAGCGACGATCCAGTCGTTCCAACCGACATCAGCGAAGTCTACGTAAAGCGGATGCCGTCTGCAATTCTCGCGACCGTCTTTTCGCCGATTCTTTCGGAGCGCTGCTCTCCTCGCGCGGCGATCCATTATTTGGCTTGCAGAGGACATCTTATACCTAACAATAAGTATCATAACGTTCATAGTTCACGTGCTGGGAACAGTGTTGAAAATAAAAATTGATTTCGTACCTGCCGTCGTCCGTATAAGTGAATAACATCGGCCGATTAACAACCCACGTGTCGTTCCTTTCATCTATGCTTCTTTTTAAACGTACATGTTCCTTTTTCGTTCCACGTACGTGCACTAACAACCCGTGATTGTTCCTGGGATCCTCTATCCACCTTTCCACGGCGGGATGAACGTCTAGGCTAATCGTACTATTTTTTCTAATATCTATTGGCTTACTGTCGATTAAACGAAATATCGGCATGCTCTGTCCCTTCGTACCGGGACGCAAAATATCATATACAAGTACTCTGCCCAACTTCGGGCTCGAGTCGTTCTCAGTTAAAACAGGCAAGCGCGAAAGACTCAACTCCGCGGCTTGCAATTTCTCTCCCGCGGGTATGCTACTTAGATCGAAAGACAGGCGAAACCGATTGGGCGATTGGAATTTATGGTCCAGCTCACTGTCTGTGTAAACAGAAGAACAAATAAAGAAGAAATGAGATCAACAGGAACGGCCTTGATCCGGTGGAAATAATTTTAGCAACGTAGTACAGTTCTTGGAAACATGCGTACCGACGTGAGAAAAGGAGCGCACTGTGTTAGCGGATCTGGCGTGGATTCCCGGTTTAGCGATATCAGCCATACCAATCGTATTTTGTCTGTGGTAAAGCTGTTTCAACGAGTCCGGCACGTGAGCCTGGCCCTGAGGTTTCGGCCTCTTGGTGAAACCGAGGAGAGTCAAGAGGCTAGCCTCGATACCGGCGATCGCCTGCTCGCGTCCGCTGATAGCAAAGTGCTTGGAATTGTCGGAGCGTAGGTGCAATTGCATGTTTGCCTTGGTAGTTGCCAGCAGCAGGATTGCTGCGACGAAAACCAACCTCAGCAGCAGCAACATGCGCATTGTGATGTCGTTGCTCACGGATGTTGCCTCCCTAAAACCAACAAATTACCATAATTAATTAATTAAATGTTTTTATGTATATAAGTTACACCTCTATTAAAATTAAATAATTATTTCTCTATAACGAGACGAATACGATATAGATTATTTGACTCGAATAGAAAACTGAATCGTTGTAAAACTACATTTCGTAATAAAAATGGTTTAATTTGAATCTCGTTTGAAAAACCACTGGTTCAAACTATTCGATCGCACAGGTGTAGATCTGAGAACCACTGAGAGAGACCTGCCGTCTCAAAGATGAGGATAGAAGTAGAAAGGTTTGAGAGACGAGGTAGTGCCAAGCTGTCTGCTGTCGAATGATTGTGGGATTAATCTGCCGCGAGTATGCTTCCTCCAGAACTCGTCTTACGTACATCTGTTTCGTACGAGATAATAAATTAAACCGTGTGAACTAATACACGAAACTTTTCTCGTCTTCTTTCATACTACGGAGTAAAAGTGAATCGTAGAAAATAGGAAATAATATAATAAAACGATTCAAATTAGTTATGCTATTAGTAAATTAATACACTTTGATTGTACAGAATACCATGTAAAAGAAAAACGGACAGGAATGATAAAATAAAACATTGAAATACTGCGAACAGATCAGTATAATTTCTAATACCAAAAGAATGCACGACCACCCAAAAATATTCGACCTAGCACGAAGCTATTAGGTCCGTACTTAGAAAAGCAATCTGTTTCTAGGAAACGAGCTCTCTCTACCTGCTCTCGACAAAAAAATTATTCACCCGCCCATAGGTATTCTCGACCCCCCAAATAGGAAAAGAAAAAATGATGAGCAATCATTCTTCGCAAGTGATTTGCGAAATATTTTCTGGGCACTTTCGCAGAAAAATATTTGTAAAATTCATATGTGCTTGAAATAAAAACTAGAGTAGAGAAAATTCTACGATGGGCAAACCGAGTCGTAAGAATAAATTGAATGTAGGAGGTTCTTTCCTTTAAAACTCTAATTTGTAACAGTAACTTAACATTTCCGTCACAAGTTATAATTTATTAATTAAAACCGACCTCTACATTTGGGATTCTCGATATAGATTATTTGACTCGAATAGAAAACTGAATCGTTGTAAAACTACATTTCGTAATAAAAATGGTTTAATTTGAATCTCGTTTGAAAAACCACTGGTTCAAACTATTCGATCGCACAGGTGTAGATCTGAGAACCACTGAGAGAGACCTGCCGTCTCAAAGATGAGGATAGAAGTAGAAAGGTTTGAGAGACGAGGTAGTGCCAAGCTGTCTGCTGTCGAATGATTGTGGGATTAATCTGCCGCGAGTATGCTTCCTCCAGAACTCGTCTTACGTACATCTGTTTCGTACGAGATAATAAATTAAACCGTGTGAACTAATACACGAAACTTTTCTCGTCTTCTTTCATACTACGGAGTAAAAGTGAATCGTAGAAAATAGGAAATAATATAATAAAACGATTCAAATTAGTTATGCTATTAGTAAATTAATACACTTTGATTGTACAGAATACCATGTAAAAGAAAAACGGACAGGAATGATAAAATAAAACATTGAAATACTGCGAACAGATCAGTATAATTTCTAATACCAAAAGAATGCACGACCACCCAAAAATATTCGACCTAGCACGAAGCTATTAGGTCCGTACTTAGAAAAGCAATCTGTTTCTAGGAAACGAGCTCTCTCTACCTGCTCTCGACAAAAAAATTATTCACCCGCCCATAGGTATTCTCGACCCCCCAAATAGGAAAAGAAAAAATGATGAGCAATCATTCTTCGCAAGTGATTTGCGAAATATTTTCTGGGCACTTTCGCAGAAAAATATTTGTAAAATTCATATGTGCTTGAAATAAAAACTAGAGTAGAGAAAATTCTACGATGGGCAAACCGAGTCGTAAGAATAAATTGAATGTAGGAGGTTCTTTCCTTTAAAACTCTAATTTGTAACAGTAACTTAACATTTCCGTCACAAGTTATAATTTATTAATTAAAACCGACCTCTACATTTGGGATTCTCGCCAACGGAAACGTTGTAATGTAAAGCGACACGCATTGTAAACAAATTTAATAAAAAATGCCTGTTTCAAAAGTATGCACGATGCAACGTGAACGTTTATAATTAGAATACTAAGTACGAATAACGTGTCTAATACCGAGCATCGTTTAAAATAAGAGCTACACATTTGGAGTAATGTGTTTTACGTTGTTACATCGTCTTTCAATTTATATCTCTTAGAAGAAGACATTATCGTTTAATCGTGAACGTATCGTTTCTCGTATAACTGATGAATGGAAAATAGCAGTCAGTGCAACTGGTGATATCATGTTTAACTCAAATATCGCACGATCGCGCCGAAGGAATGCGGCGCGGGTAGAGTAAGGATACAACAGGTTGTCGAGTATATATAAGCAGCACGTCATCGTCTAAAATAATCGGGCCAGCGGCAATCAAGCAAACGTACACTTTCGAGCCGATAAAAATCGTGTACCTATTTTCAGGTCGTTCGAAAAGGAGCCAGCGGAGTTAAATAGATTGTACTCACCTGAGCTAATCGCGGGTCCGTCGTTCGAAGAGGCACGACATTTCAATGAGTCCATGTATCCTCACTCAGAAACTATTGTCTCAAAACCTCGCCCCCCCGGGAGTCTTTAGTGTGGATACATCGATGCTGGAACTCCGTTGCGCTCTGATATTTTCACGCGCGGCCACCGAAACGACAGAGCAACCGAGAGACAGGCGTATAATAGGCGGATAAAACGGATGAGACTTATCTCTTGGAAACGTTTTACACGGTCCAGGAAGAAACGCAGAGCGAACGATCAGCCGTTGAAAAGCACAATTGTTTGCAAATAGAGAACGTTACGGACGGCACGCACTGGTGTTGAACTCGACTCGATACGCGGAAATCTTCGAGAAGTCGAGAGGAAGAGTAGAATCGTAGGATAACTTGGCGGGAGGGGGAAGAGGCGAAAAAAAAATTAGTAACAGAGATACTATCGGCCCTTCCAATGTGTATTTTAAGAGCTGAGCGACGCCTGCAATGAATTTCCTAACTAAAAGTTTTCACCCGTCCCGTTCCCATCTGTGACACAGAGTTCTATGGCTCATTTTCAGAACTCACATATATGGCACGCTGCAGTGTATACTCAGATAGCCATGATAAATGTAAATAATAACTGATTTACCGTGAAATTGTGAGAACTCGGTATTGAATTATACATTAAGTAGGCTTTTTAAGTGATAAAACATGGGTCGCCGCTCGATAAACACCACCAAAAGTGGGAAATACATGAATCCCACTGATCAAGCACGTTAGTAAATAGCATAAGCGACCGACCTGTAACTCATCATCATACTTTATCATTTTTTAATGCATTTTAGGTAAGGAAGCGCGTAAAAAAGAATTAAAGAAAAACAAGAAGCAGAGACAGTTAGTACGTGCTGCTGTCTTAAAGGGCAAAGATCCTGCTCAGATTATAGAAGAAATGGAAAAGATAGATCAGATGGGTTAGCATTTAGTATGCTCTAATGTAACATTATTAACATTAAAATACATGTATATAATTTATTTGTAGAATACAATGTTATGCAGCCACCACCTCTTAATGAGAAGGTTTTGAAAGATAAGAGAAAAAAGCTGAAGGAGACTCTAGACCGCGTCTTAAAAATGTATGTAAGTACTTATTATACTTATCATTATAAATTTCTCACACAATTTGTTGGTAAGATTAAATTGGTAAGATTATTAAGCGATGGTACATGCAACAATATGTATCGACAGTTTTGCCTTTTCAATGTTTATAGGCTAAGGATGATCAAGAGAAATGGGCAGAGTTAAAAGAGCAATTGATACAATATGAACGCAGAAGAATAGACTTAGTTTCTTATTTCGAGGCTGTGAGGCATGCACAGCAAGTACAAGTTGATGAAATTCCATTGCCATCAGCTGGCAGTGAAATATCTCGGATATATTCAGGTATATATCGATGATCCTTATAGTTTAAAGTTACGTTTGTTTCATATGAATCTTTTCCAGGTTCTTTAACTTCGCAAATACCTTTGCCGGACATGCCGCAACCGCCGGCCCACATGTATCCTCCTCACCCACATTACATACCTCAACATCATCCTCTTATGAATATACCAATACCACCTAGTATTTTAAAGAAAACAAGCGCGTACTCGGCATCGGCTTCTATGCCTACGCTAGCACCTAATAAAGAACCACCGGGTGTTCCTCCTTTCCCACCTCCCGATCTCTCGAGCGACGATGAAGATATGCCTGATAAGGTATGTATCTCAGGATCATTAACTCGTTATTATCTCATCTGTGTTTCGTTAATCGCGTTTAATTACAGGGTAAGGATTCCATGCAGAAATCAAGGACTATTCGATTCGCAGACGACAAAGAAGACAATAAGCAAGAATCGGACGGTAAAGATAAGGATGTGGATAAGGAAAGAGAAAAGGAGCGAGAAATGTCGAAAGTGAAACCGACCACTTTGCAACAGAAGATGTTAGCCATGGCGGGCCAAGACATCGATCAGTTCATGCGCGAGATGGAAGTTGTTCATAAGAAGCGTGAGACTGAACGAGCTCAAGACTTAAACGCTCGGCTATCGTTACTCGAATCGGAGAACGAATCCAATTCGAAATCTAATAATAACAAGAATAACAAAGGGGATGATGACGATCTAGAACCTCCGGGAGCATCGGATCATTCCTCGAACCATAATCAACACGCGACGTCGCATTCCCATTCTCAACATACACAGCCGCATGCATTGCCTCCAATGGGGATGCCGCCTCCTCCTTTGATGTACAGGCCTCCACCACCTCCTCTGCATTTAAGGATGCCTCCGCCACCGCCACCTCGTATCGGACTTCGATTACCTCCCGGTAAGAATATCAACGAATATCGGTGTATCGTCAAACGAATACGAGAAACTAAAATTTGTTTTTATCAGGTCCACCACCAGGAATGCCAAGGATGTTGAGGCCTGGCCCACCGAGCATGCCTAGAATGCCTCCTCCGCAAATGCAAATGCCGAATCTGTCTAATATGACGAACATAGGAAATCCTCAGATGCAGGCACAATCTGGGGCAGGATCACAGCCCAAGACGCCCAACGTTCTCTCCGCTGCACCCCAGTTAATCAATCGAAAAGATAAAGATGGAAAGAGTAGTACAACTATCGAAGCCAAGCCGCAAATTAGAAATCTGGCGGCTGACGTTACGAGATTCCTGCCTACCTCTCTCCGCGTTAAGAGAGATGATAAGAAAAAGCCGAGTACCCTCTTGAGACTCGCGGAGAGGATGCCGGAAACGCAACCGATACGAACCACCCAACCTAAGACTAAGGATGACGCGTACATGCAATTTATGCAAGAAATGGAAGAGTTACTTTAAATTTTACTGTAATTCAATCTTATTCGAATAGCATCAAATTAAATATTGTAACATACGATGCGACTAACATTATTACCGAATATATATGTATATATCCCGATTTTTTTCAGTTATACATAAACTAAGATGAGAGTAAAAAAACACGTTTCATTAATACTTAGTTAATTCCTTATATTATCTTATATTATCTCTCTCTTCCTATTCAGGATACGGTTTTCGGGCAACCTTCCCTACTCTATTTATAATAATCATGATTTCAGAGCATGCGCTCGATCTATCAACATGGCGGTATTTCCGAGTGATCGCGGGATGACGTCACTTCCAGGTCACTTCGTACTTCTGTCACTTCTGTAAGACGAAAGCGATCACGTCTCTCAAATTTCTGACTAAGCCAGATAAAGTATAGATATACATAGTGTGCAAGTACTTAAACATTAATACTTAGATGCATAAGCAAGTATCCCGAGTATTTTCATGATTTGAAGATTGTAACTCGCGTGTAAATCCACTTTACTGAAACTCAATATGTACGCAAGAAACAGAGCTCAAACCTTCCCAAATGGTAAGTTATTAGAACTCGTGTAAAGATAATTAGAATATTTCATGGATTAGATTCATTTTTAATAATCGTATAGTTTGTACAATCGGAAATGCGTAATTAGATGTGGCATAAAAATCAATACCTATACACTGGTTTATCAAGAATGGCGTCTTGCAACTATATTTCACACGATTTTATATGTATTCAACTTTTACATCAATGCTGGTCATTCGTCTCTCAGCAGTCGATGAATGATGAGTCAGACGTAGAAATGTAAACATTTCTCTGTCTTTGAGAGTGTTGTATGTTTTTATGATTCTGTTCATCGTTTTATACGTCTATTCTATGGTCTAAATAATACTTGAGCGTTTGTGACCTTATTTCCGATAATTTTTATGGTAATATATGGCTAGTTTCTCATTGAGCAACACCGGTATGACTTCTGAGTACAGGCGTCATCCCCCTTCCTCATCGATTGTACTTCATAGTTTCAAAGCTGCTAATATAGCCAAAGCAAGCTACGCTGCAGTAATTCAAAGCAATATGTTCCCTACAAAGGATCAAACCATCATTTTGGAAACTAAAGAGCAATAATGCTAGAAACTAGGATAACTTTATAGAAAGCCTGTTTAAGATTAATTTTAATCCTTTCCTCGATCTGATTTACCGAAAATCGTGTTACATATTATTTTCATTTCAATTAATAATTTTAATTAAATTACAGCAAGGAAGCAGAGCAATCCAACTATAGGATACCAAGGCCAAAGCACTGTAAGTTTATTACTTCAATATTAGCATTGTTGTGTAATTTCAAAGTAAAAGTAAAATTGAAAGTTATAGCTCTAAAGAGTAGTTAGCTAAATTCATATATAAATTTAGGTAAAATGTTAGCAAACTTATGTTTGTCTTATATCAATTCATAAAGTCATTTGAGATGATATAATATTTAAGTGAGAAAATGTTGAATACTTGAATACTAGTACTTCTTCAGAATGTTATAGCAATAGTATTTTTACATATTGCATTTGGCACGTATATGTATGTGGAAAGAATTTCCAGCATACTAATACAAATAGTAGAAGCATTTTTTTGATATTCTGGTATGTATATCAACGTGTTAAAGCTTTATTATAAATACCAGCTACATTTATTTGGTATGTATACCAGAAGTCTGATATAAAATGTTTCATACATGCGAGCATATGTATACTTTATATTAAAATACTATTGATTATATATTCCTCTTTCTACTATTTTTCTTTTTTGATTTGACGTTAGGTTTCATAAAAATAAAATAGCAAAACATATTACTCCGAAGAGAAAAGAAGTATTGAAAATATTTCGAGTATTCTTAAAGATAAAACTGTAATTGTTCCATTTGTTGTTTCTGCTATTTCATCCACTTGCATGTACTAATTAGTGGTTCCTACTTCCCCCTCCCCTGCAATGCAGGAACTAGTAGCTATACAACAATACCGAGGAGGTCTATTCAGCCAGGGGCTAGTTCGTCTGTTACCCACATAGCATAGTCTGCCAAGGGCCATATTTTTGATAAGTGCTGAACTGGCGTTTAAATAACATAAACGAAAATAAAAATAATCGTCTTATCGATTAGTATGAATTAAACGAGATGATTGTCACATATACTTACATGACGAAGTATCTGTAACATACGAGTTCTTCCCACAAATTAAACTGGAACCTACTCACCGTTGACTTCCTTGCACTTACAATACTAATTCAGTTAATAATGCAGCAAGATGTTGAATATAATTTTCATCCATGTTGTGCTGTTCAAACTCAGTTCAGTGATACATAAGGAAATATAGGCCAGATAAATAATTTGGCTGGTATGAGTTATGAGGGTAGCATTAGACTGCTTCCAAATGCATATGCGATGCTAGGCCTTGGTGGGATAGCACAACCGTAGAGGTTCCTTGTGTAGCGGCGACCCACCCTCTGTTTTTCAGTACAATCAGCAAGGTGGTTTCCCAGGCCAACAGAATCAACAAAATAAATTCAAACCAGGGAACGCTGTACCAAATTCACCATCGTTTAAACCATCGCAACCACAAGCAGCAGCAGCAGCACCACCACCACCAGCAGTTATAAAGAATATGCAACAAGGGAAACCTCAACAGCAGCACGTCGATGTTAAACAGCCTGTTACAAACTCTTCTCAGATGCACTCAGCACCGTTGCCTCAAGCTCAGTCTCAAGCTCAGTCTCAAGCTCAGCCTCAATCACAACCTCAAACTCAGCCTCAACCCCAGCCGCAGCCTCAACCCCAGCCTCAACCCCAGCCTCAACCCCAGCCTCCAACTCAAGCTCCACCGGCACCTAGGTTGAAGCCAATTCTGAAAATAACTTCCAACACTCAGCAACAGGCTGGACCAGCTGTGCAAAATAATCCTGTTACCTCTTCTCAACCAATGATTCCTACTTCCGCACCTTCTGTGATGAGTCATTCGAATTGCACTTCGCCGACGAGTAGCGATAAAATGGAAGTCAAATCTGACAGTCAAACAGAAAATATGGATACTGAAATGCAAGATCTGCAGCCGAGATGGAGGCGCAAGACACCCGGATGTAAGTATTTTAATCTTGTTTCAAAGTGAAACATACATATGTAACATAATGATGACAATTCACTGCGCAAATTTGAAGACTAGAAATGTTGTCATCTGCTCCGGTATATTACTGTCGAGCTGTGGCATATTGATAAGCATTGTGAATATCAGTGCACTGACATAAATATGTTGTAAAATTAGTTGATTGTTTCATCGTTCGACAAATTCAATAAATTGGTACTTTTAGTTAGGGTGAATAAAAGATTGAAACGGCTTCGTTTGAATCAACGTTTAAGGAAAACATTACAACCGAAAAATGCGATTATGGTATTAAACGAAATGAAACCTGGGGTACAATTCACGTTTCCCGAAACCCAGGGACCTATGCCAAATTCCCTGTATCTTGTTCACGCAGAGGTATTAAAATAATTCAGTTCATTGTACGATGCGTTATAAATATCGCATCTTTTATACAATTTATTTTAATAATGGAAACAGCTCGATGGGAAAACTTACGTTGGTCAAGGATTGTCTAAACCACTCGCTCGACAGAACGCCGCTGAAAACGCTTTGAAAGCTCTGTTGCTCGAGAAAATGACAGCGGCGTCTTTGAAAGCACGGATCGATGCCGAATTAGACAAGCAAAGTCAATACACAGATGGATCTAATACATCAAAAGATGACAACGAAGAAGGTGTAATACCAATGGATACCACTACCGCTGACGAAACCGATGAAATTCCATGGAGTTCTTTAGCTAGTTTTGCATTGTACAAACTTTTCCTTGAGTGGCACAATCAAGGAACATCGGTACCAGTACCGAGACCTGGTATACCGTCGCCTATTAAAGGAGGCAAGAAAGAGGTTCCTCAAGCCCCAAAGGCTCCGGTTCAAAAGGAACTTCCACCAAATGCGACAAGCATACACCCCGTTATGCTATTAAATCAGATGAGACCAGGTTTAACGTACGTAGAACTCAATCGTGTCGGCAATCCGCCTAACACGATGTTCACTCTCGCTGTTGAAATCGATGGAGTTGAATACACAGGAACAGGTAATACGTATAGCCAAGTTTTTGTTTCAGCTTCGTAATATACGTGATAACTAAAAGTGCATGGATTTGTTGCAGCGAAAAATAAGAAAGATGCTAAGAAAATAGCGGCTAAATCCGCGCTTCTCGCTTTGTACAATTTGTACTATCCGGATGACATGAAACCGACGGCCCAAGATCAACCCACGTTTTAAATTTTGTAATATTCGTTAATGCACATTTACAATTCTGTAATGTGCCATTTGTATTATTATGCAATTAACGCGAATGCTTTCGCATTGAAAAAGACGTCTATAAGGAATAAGGGGAGATAAGATTTCTATTATGGTATAAACGGTTTTCGGCAGTATTTTACATTGAGCCTAATTATTATTTAACAAACAAGCCTTCGTTGGAATATTTATACACAATCACTACGCGTAAGTCGTTTTACGTGTTTTGAAGATTTTTCTTTTCGTTATTTCTGCAGTATTTCAGATTTCTTTTATCAACCCAACTATGGTGTGTAACCATTTTTTATGCGTATTTTACATGTTAAAAATATAGAATGGAAACTGCATAATCGTATTATCATTGCTAGCAATCAAATGTTTGTGCGTTACATCCAAGTACGTACATAATTATTCGTATTGGAGTTTCAGTCATATTTCGAGAGATTGAATTCATACATGGAATACAGAATTCTGTTTCATATGTACGTCGTGTTAAAAATGACATGTACCATAATAAACTCACGTGTACACATCCAAATAAATTTTATATTTCTGAATAATCACCACTCATCAAAATCAATTGTCCTCTTCTCCAATTGAATGCATATCTTCCGGTTTATTTTAGTAAATAGATTTTCCTAATCAATGAGATAACGAACTGTTCTATAAGTGAGTGGTTGTTATGACAACAATCTTCAAAACACTGTACGTTTTAAGAGAATACTGGGATGTGAGACAAGTGTACATATTTCAAACATGCTACCTTTAAAAATAATAGTAATAGGACCTGTCAGGGTAAAATTCTATCATATTAACTTATCTAATATATGTCTGTTACATAAAAATTATGGATTTCTTTTTACGTTCGTTATCGAGTACACTGTAGTGCACAGTAATAATAAAAGTGTGCGTGTGTAAATAAAAATTGAATTAATTCTGTGATATTTCAATTATTTTGCGCAGAGTGGTAAAACGAGCATATCTAACTTTCTTGCCGACGCTACGGAAATACCTTACGATTATCATCCGACGCAAGGTGTCCGAATATTAGAGTTCGAAATACGAAATATAATTGTGAATAATAAGCATATTACTAAAGATATTGAACTGTGGGACTGTAGTGGGGATCATAAGTACGCGCGAACGTCTTCCCTATCCGAGAAGTCGATTCTTCAAATATAATTTCATTTGATATGATCGCAGATTTGAAAATTGTTGGCCGGCTATGAGGAAAGATGTGCACGGTGTTATATTCGTGTACAATGAAAAATCTAACTTAAAAGAAATTCAACAGATTTACGATTATTTCATCGAGCAAACGAAATTGGGTCCGGAGAGATCTGTAATATTTTGTTACGATCCTGAGAAAAAAAATCCCGAGATATCCAAAATCATTTGTGAGTATATTAAAGATCATAGACATTCTTAATAATATATATCTATCTTCTTGTGAACAGCTTCAACGTTCGTAAAAATATCGCACGTCAAGTGCAATACGGAAAGCGGTGGGAATAAATTGAAATCTGATTTCGCTTCATTCGTAAACACAGTACTCAACGATATGCATAATTACACGAAACAGGAATTCAAAGATATCACAAATGATAATATGTTACTTACGAAATGAATGATGTATATTGTGTATAAAACTATGAGTTGAAAAATATATGAAACTTATTAATAAGCAGTATAACAATTTATTAAAAATAATGTTCCATGTAAAATCTTACAGATTTAAAAAATTAGCTCTCCCAACAAAGTAACAATTAACTATTATTTTTAGATAAAAATGCAATTGTTTCGTTCCATGCCTTTTGCACTTGTTCTGCGGTAATGTCGTGACTCCATAAACTGCATATAACAACGTTGGCCTCGTTAACTTGTTCGAGATTACTTGGCTGGACTTGAATCCTTGCTTTTGCCTCATCTTCGGTTAACCGGTTTCTCTCCATTACTCGTCGTATAGCCTAATAATTTTGAAAGCATATCACGATCGAGCCAATTTTATTTTGTACATTTCAAACTCACCTCCTGCTGTGGTATGATACAAGTCCAAACCTCGTGACACTCATTCTGCCATTTGGCCTGGATCAAGACCGCAGCTTCCATAACAACTAATTCAAATCCCTTAGTGTAAAAATCATGTATCCGTTTCTTTGCTTCTTCCATGATTAAAGGCCAAACGAGTTTATTTAATTTATTTAATTGTGCCTGAGGAAACATATTTCGATTATTAAACATTGATCCCTTCCAAACTATAACAGTATCAGGAACCTACAGCGTCCTTAAATACTATATTTCCAAGCGCTTTCCTATCGATAGACCCATCAGCTTTTACAACAGCAGGACCAAAATTTTCAACCACCGCATCGTAGCACCTCTCGCCAGGCAAATATAATTCGTGCGCTATTGTATCGCAATTGACAAGAGCTGCACCGAGCTTTTGTACTTTCTCAGCTACCGACGACTTCCCACTGGCTATACCACCGGTTAAACCAATTACATAAGGCTTCGAAGGTTTGTCTCCGATCCTCTACAAGGAAGACCGACCTCAAGACATTTTATACAGTAAAATTAGATGTAATACATACAGGCGGTCGGAGTTTTGAACCCAGCATTCGTATTCTCAGATTACTAGAACTAATTTTGTTCTCTTCGTGTTCTCTGTGATCCTTGTCCCTGACTAATCTTACAACGCGGATGTCTAATTTCTTTAAATTTAGTTGCTCTCGTAATTCGTTTACTTTCTCTCCTCCACGTTTAGTTTCTTCGCTAACTACTATCATATCAAGTGTTGGATCAGTTCTAGTCGGCCCATACATATCTTGTATCGGCACAATGTTGTACGTTAAAGTTGAATCTATATCTTCTAAAAAATCTCTTAGATGCATGATTCTTGTAGGGCATGGCTCGATCAATTCCCATAACAGTTTGCCTGTAAAATGCAATTAATTGATTCCAGGCACCGACTACGTCTCTGTTCAGTGGTGTACAACAATTTATACTTACCAGCCAACATATTTGTGTCTGTTATACCAATTGTAAGCCTCTCGACGCAGTGTAAAGCAGCATCGCTTAAAAAAATTTTATGACCATTGTGTATTCTGTCGAACGTACCACCAAGTACGACGTTCTTGTAGGTCTTATCTTCCTTAGTGCAAGTAATCACATCGTCTTCTTTCTCTGTTGTCTGATAATCATTAAAAGCAATGAAATTACAGCCCATTGAAGTGTTGGCTAAATAATCTTGAATGAACGTGTCGGCATCTTTCTTACTACAAATTTCATCAAAAATGACTATCTCCACGGGTTTCTTAGTGTTTATTACCGAGGAGTTAGGATTTTTCATACTTGTGAGTAACACGCGTACGTCGAGTTTCGGGATCGCGGACGTGTCCGTGTAAATATTCGAAACGATTTGAGCGTAACGTGTTACTTTCCACTGGTGATTCGCGGCCGTGTAGCTGCCGGGAAGGAAAATATTCTTTTCCGGAAAATATTGAACGTACAGAGTCTTTAGCACATGCTTCTTTATAATAGGCAACAACTTTGCCACTCTCGCTGGATTTGTCAGGACCAACAAACCGGTGTTTGACATATTGCGACAATATATTTATTAACCTTACGTACAGTTACTCAAAACGATTCCTCGTTCCACTTAATACGCACGTATGAAAAAGATAACTTTTCCATTATCCAGTATAAGTGCTGAGCTGTATAGCTATCTCTCGTCTGTTTGACGTTGACACTGACACGTTGAATATTTTAAACTTTAAATTAATAAGATAGCAACAATTACATCACACATCGGTTTATCGTGTGCTTCAATTGGATATGGACTTGTATAATATATTTTATACCGGAAGAATTATCATTTTTTTCATCGTGTATACACGGCTTTTTCCTATTGGCACGGTTGCGATTGCCGAATTGTTTTAGCATTGTCATCGCGTGATTCGGTAATTCAAGAAAGGACAAGCTTATTAATAAAATGGATTCATTCAAACAATTAATAAACAGTACTAAAATACTTTATATTTAACAAATTATATCAATTTTCAGTTGATACTATAATTAATATGAACGCATCAACAGTATTTTAATTAAAAGTAACTAATAGTATGTAATAATTATATCTAAAAGTTCATGATGTGCTAACGCTTCGTGAAATTTTATACGGGGATGTTGAAATTAACCATTCTATTAATTTCGTATGATTACTTTCGAATGCCAGTTGTAATATTGCATCGTACATTTCATTTTCAAGCCCAAATTCGCTTCCTATGAAGAAATTGTATTGTTACACACGAAAGATTGATTATGCAAATGAAAGAATAATAACTGACCAGCCTGTTTTAGCATATCGAGACGAGAAAAGTCATTGTCCTCTGGTTTGTCTAAAAAATGATAAATAGCCATACACAAGGCAGTGTTTCCTCTCTCAGTGGTAATAGATACATCAGCACCTATTATGTAAATTTATACAGTGAATACAATGAGTTGTATTACAACATGATAATTATTATTTTATTGTACATATGTACCCTTTGCTAGCATAAAGGCAATTAATGAGTTATGACCGTAAAAACAGATGTAATGAAAAGGTGTAAAACCTTGTTGAAAATCTTTTACATTTATTAATTGTGGACACCGTACTATTATGTCGATACATTTTAACGCATACGATGTTTGGTAAGATTTCTGAAATATATGAATAACGTTTATTGATATTACATAATGTTGTCTATGTAACTTGTGTTAGGAAATATTTTATTTACTTTAGCCGCCCTTATCAAATCGCATAACATGGCTTTGTGACTGATTATGCTATATTCTCGAATGCGTTTAAAGGTTTCAAAACTTGAGTCGCGTTCGTGTCTCAATGTATTAATCAATTCGACGTTCGCCAATCTTTTACAGCGATATTCTGCAAAATCTACGTTTCTTAGTATAATTGTTAGTGATCGGAAGCGTGTGTAATTAGAGATTTAAGAGTGTACCGTGGACACGATGGAACGCGTAAGAAATAGCAGCGATAAAGCCAACGGGAGCAAGTAATTCAATAATATTTGAAACCGTTCTACCTATCGTTTGAATACAATTGAGTAATACATCAAATAATGAATTGCTATGCGTCGTTATAAGACTCATGGTTTCTCCCTTTTCGAACTGGTTCCTGTTTAACGTGAATCACCGTGAATCCTTTTTTGACGATCGAGAAATCTCTGTTTAATCTCTAGATCTAGGAACAGTGACAGGAGATGTATAGGATAGGAATCCGTGTGTAGTAAACGTTTCCCCATAATCGCGGTTGAATGACCAATCAGAGCGAGCGAGTAACAATGCAGGATGTCCTCTTTCAATAGCCGACACTCCGGAAGTGATTGTCTAAGGGGGTAGAGAGCCGTTACCCTGAGTAACGATTAGATATACCCCGAATCCTCGTTTTGAAGTTCTGGAACGGGGTCGCCGTAGGGGGCACCGATATTCGACTGTCCCGACGGAAAACAGAATCGACGCAGACGCGCGAGACAAGCCATACTTGTTCGGTGACGATGAGTGCGTTCTATTATTGAGAAACGGATCCCGTCCCCAGTGTTTACAATCTTCCTCGACGAACCTCGAGCCAGTGTTGTTATGATCTCGGATCGTTCTAGACATCTGTGAACGTTGAACAGTGATCGTATGATCCTAGCGATCACGTAATTCGGGATTTCGTTCGTGACATAATATATGAAAGTCCGGGCGTAAGTAGATAGTACTTGGTTGCAATTTCACTTGGCCTGGCTGGTTTGTCACTTCGAAACTTGTCCCTCGTTGCGAAAATGGCGAGTCGTACGAATCAGCAATGTTCGCACGGTGATTCTGTATGTTTCTTCACGGATGACAAGAAACGAGCCGTTCTCCTGTTCTAACGCGGAAGAAGTTTATCGGGGCCAAGCGAGGAAAAAATTTCGGACGGGTCAAAGATGGATGCAACAATTGAGAGAGAGTGCAGTGCACTGGGTGGCCTCTTTCAGCAGATTATAACTGACATGAAGGTAAATTGATCGTCAACCTTCTGTTATTTCACGATATTTGCTACACGACCGCGTTTTTTCCTGTTCATTGTTTTTTGTAACGCTCCCCTGCCTTTGCACAAGTAACGATGCAGGCGAACGCGTCGTCGATGCAGCATTCAGATATACCACGAAATCGGTATTCTCGAAAAAAAATCGTGTGTTCTTTCTATCATGCTTTTCTTAAAATATGGTTCCATCGTCCTGATTCTAAAAATCACTCTCCGAAACCGCTCGAGATAATTTGATGCGATAAAACGAGGACGTTAGCTAATTTACACTTGCTCCAGTTTTACGATATAGCACCGAAATAATCCTTCAATTTTTGCACGATTAAGTATGTACGTAGCTAGAAACCAATATTAATCGGTTTAATATCTCATTCAATGTAATTCTTATCTATATATCATGCGAACGTCTAATATAAAATTCCATTTTTTAAAGTACGATTACAATTCATAGTTGCATAACCATTTAGATTTCTAGTCATTGTGATCTTCCACACTATGAAATTATCTAATCACAAAAGATAGGTAGGCGTATGTCGTTGTTTCATTCACTGTATCCTCTTGTATTTTTGTAATAGTAATATCGTAAGCCGTTGTCGTGCTTTAGTGATAAATGTATTAAACTGTGACGGCATTGGCGCAATAATAATTTGCATAAAAATTCATTTTTAGAATGGAACTCCACTATGGGAAGATTTAATCTCGAAAGCAACAAAATTACATTCGTGTTTAAGGTAATAAATGGGATTTCTTATGGGTTTTCAAACGTCATCATAATATCAACGCTTTTAATATTATTTCAGAGCTGCTATTTTAGCTATTTCTGCATATCTTGAAACTTTTCAAAAAATTGCTGATGCTGCGACTAATGCTAGAGGCGCGACAAAAGAAATTGGAACTGCTTTAACGCGGATTTGTCTTCGACATAAAGCGGTAGAAACTCGTATGAAGTCGTTCACCAGGTAATTATTTATTACGTTAATTTTTAATACTTGAATATAACGAATATTTTTATTAGCGCTATCATGGATTGCTTGGTGTTACCTCTTCAAGAAAAATTGGAAGATTGGAGAAAGTCTTTAATAAATTTAGATAAGGAGCATGCCAAAGGTTAGCACTGCAGTTATTCTCAATATCGTAGTCATTGGCAATTTATGACGTTCGTGATACCGTTTCCAGAATACAAAAAAGCAAAAGCAGAGTTAAGAAAACGATCTACCGATACGTTGCGTTTACAAAAGAAGAAGGCGCGTAAGGGTCAATTACAAGCGCAGTCGCAAGGACATGCAGCGTCAGGAGATATCGAATTAACTCGAATGTTAGAATCTTCAGCTGCCGTTGTTCAAGAGAAACGTTTAAGTTTGGAAGAGACAGAAAGGAAGGCCGTTCGCGCGGCTTTGCTGGAAGAGAGAGGAAGATACTGTCTCCTTGCCAGATTTTTGAAACCAGTGCTCGTTAGTACATAATTTAATTACGATTGCTGAGGTATCAACGATTGAATATGAAATGAAACTCTAAAAAAAAATACGTAGGACGAAGAAATTGCGATGTTAATGGAGTTGACACACCTGCAAGAAGTCTCTGATCAATTGCAACGACACGCAGCTTCTCCGCATCACTTGCCACCGGCATCGGAACAAGTGATAACCGACATAAAAGGTTGCGACGTAACACAGTGGTCTCTCGCTACTCCACCCTCGAGCCCTTCCTTATCGCTTGGATCTAGGAAAAGTTCAATGTGTTCAATCAGTTCTTTAACAAGTAGCAGCAGCGGTTCTTGCAAAAGCCACCCGAGTCCATCCGGACATCCTTGGCACAGATCACTTTCGCAGGTAAAGAAGATCACCGAGCTCGACGTCATTTTTCATTCGCTTGTTCATTTCATCAAGAATGTCGTTCTTTTATAATGCATGGCATATTAGTTTTACGCACAACCAAGTAGCCAATAGATCGTAGCATGAACGCTGCTCGGCGTTGGCTTAGTGTATGTGGTAGTCGATGTTATACTCGTTGTAGCCTGTCGGTGTCAGGCCCTCCAGCATCAGCGGTTTGATGACGCTGCGCCACTTGGTAAATGGTAGTTCCCGCGACTCAGGCTTCACCTCCCAGGACACGTTGTACACTCAACCGATCTCCGAGCATCAGGTAACGTTGCTAGAAACTAGATGTCCGCCAGCACATCGTTTTTCTTTTTTATTTGCAATATTAAATAGAGAAACATCGCACCTCTCGGCGTACACATCCTCGTTATGACGTTGAAGTGAAATTGTGTTGTCCTAGGTATCGAATGTCTTCTCTCAAACTAATAAAAATACTGGTACCACAACAAGACCCGTAACTACTGCTACTTGGCCTGACTTACAGGAAACATCGGTACAATTCGACAGGCAAAATCAGAACGCTGTCAACGAACGGCCCCACACGATCTCCTCTGGTAAGATGATTGTTGAAAAAGACTCGTGTTTATTAAAAGATAGAATGATTAATTGTATGTTAACGCGACGCCACTTGTTGTTGTAGCTTATGAGAAAGGCCATCAAAGACCAGCACTCAGTGTCTACACATTCCAAGCTCCGGATAATAGTGGCTGTTGTCATAGTCAACCCGCTTCTCCAGTTTCTTCTTCCTCGTCATGTTCTTCCTCCAATCAACAAGCGTCCAGAGTACAATTGCGTAGAAATAATGGTAGTAATCGTCCTCCTATACCGAACAGATGTTCCAGTCTAGAACGTCCGTCGGTTCCGGTTAAAAATGAACCTCCTGGAAGTCCTCGAGGAAAACCGAAATTACCGTTGCCAGCGCATTTAGCCAAAGGTATACATCATTCTTTTATCAATCGTTTATATATTCGTGGAAATTGATATACTGTTTCATTGATGGAACGTAGAATTGGCAACTCATCAACTTCAGCAGCCGATGTATGTTAATATGCACGAATTAGCGAGTCTGGCTGCGAGCCGCGCTCAGGAGATGCAGTTACCGTTACCACCGCCTCCTGCGTCGCTCTCGGTGCCTGGAACCGAAAAGGTACGGTCGATAACGGGGTTTTTAAGATTCCAGAGGTTCACATAAATATATTCACAGACCGAAGTTACGGAGAAAGACGGTGGGAGTCAGACATCGGAATCGAGCGTCGAATCCAGCAGCGGATATGGAAGTCAGACAACTTTACCGCATTCACATTCGCTTCATAATCAGAGCGAGAACGCTTGGAACGTACCTGGTGCTGCGTCCACTTTGACGGTTCGCAGGGGATCGATGCAGCAAGCGAACAAACCTCCACCGCCGACAAGGCGAACGTCGACTATTATAACTGCCACATTCACTACTCCTTCGTCGGGGCCCAACGATGAACGTGCTGACACTACTTGCGACGAAACAGAAAATCTTCCACCACCGCCGGCATTTCTGTTGGAAGGTTCCTCACCGACAGCCAGTCCTACTCCTCAACGGTAAGGAACAGAGTAAAATGTTCAACGTGATCAATACTTATGCAATATGTGTATTATGTCGCAGATCTATCTCTGTGTCGGAGACAGTAAGGACCCTTACAGAATTGCGACACACGCCTGCTAGCCCTTCTCTTCTGCGGAAGGCTACGGGCCAGGCACAAACGCATAATTCTTCCGCTACGCTGCCGCATAATACTGTGCTCCAAGTAACTCGATCCTCCGTAGAACGCTCTTGCGCGGCCATTCGTTCGGCTTCTCAAGAACGTAGCTCGAACACCACGCAAGTGACCACCGTTAGTACGGGTGTAAATATTCAAGGCCAAGGCCCTGGAGGCGTCGGTCAGAGCTTCATGGCGGTGCTCAGCGCGAAGTTGATCAACAGTACAGGTAACAACGCCACGAGTGGCAACAATACAAGTAGTAGCCCGAAATCAGTTAGAAAGCATTCGATCGATCAACAGTCAAGTAAGAATACTAAAACATCGTCGGGTTTTCTTGAAACGTTGAACGCCAAATTGGCGCAGCAGCAGCAAACGTTGCAAGGTAATAATACAACGAGTAGATCCGCGAGCGTCAGACGTATAATGGGCAATCGCGTGCCCATCATGGATCCCTTGCAAGTCAGGGATTCCCTGATGGATCAAATACGAAAAGGTACCTCACTGAGGAAGACGAGTGGTCCCATCAACGATCGTTCGGCACCGAAAATTTATTGAGTATTATAATACTGATGTTTGTGCAAGTTCCTCTGCAATCTTCGATGCGTTTAACTTGCTTCCGTTCGCATTGAACGTAGCGATGCATCGTCGAGTTTGAAGAATACATTTACGTGCGTCACTAGACAAGGTGGTCGTGCATCATGCGTACCTTTACGAACGTACATTCATTAATTCATAATCAGTTGGACTGACTTTGCGCTAAAGTCATATTGAATCGCAAAGTGAAGTCATTACACGAATCTATTAATACTAGGATTAGTTCGATTAAAATGATTTAGAAAAGGCAAGCTCTATATTAAATCCATCCTTAATATGTATATTTTAATGCGTGTGTTATAATATACGGATATAATATAAATGAATTCGGGTCGTGAAGATAACGTAACTTATCTTAATTGTTTAATTAGAGAGAGCCCGGTCGTATATATTACATTATATATTACATTCTTACGCGTAATTAATAATTAACGAGTATAAGATTTGAATAATATATTTATAAACTAAAATAGTATATTTATATATTATTTTAATTCCGACTAAATTAAGTTGATACTAATGCCCGATACTTGCCAGTAACACAGGGCACCTGACTGATTTAACGATACCTTAGCAACGGTTTAGTAAAGAAAAGAGATATCGAATCTGCATATATAATTTAATATAGAGCTCGTTTTTAATATATTATCGTTTCATCTAAGAATTCAGTTTTACTTCTATTACCTGTCTTTCATTTTTCACGTACGAAACGCACAAGCACAATTATCGTCATTCGCATTCTCGTGCTCCATTTCAGTATCGTGTTCCAGTACAGGTTCTAATAGTAGCATCTCTGTCAACCAATTTAATACTATTTGGTATGACAAAATTTGAACGTAAATGTGTATGAGTATTAATGCCCAGGTGGAACTTCATTTTAGAGTTGGTTTTTATATCGCCCCAATTATTCCATAGAGATCTGTCTATCTTGGATTATCCGATACGTCAGTCTATAATAATATTGTGTCGCACGGATTCAGTATTACTATATATTATTAGCGTCTCTTCTTTTTGTTCAAGAAAGATCCGTAAATCGAAATGTTTTACATCGATTTAGGATACATCGCGTGTTTTAGATTACATCATTTCTCTTTTTATACTGATTAATCTATAGTCTTTATTTTTTCAGTGTAAGAACGTATCCATACATTACCGTTTTGCATATTGATAATACATATCAGAGTTTTCGTATCACTGTGTTTTTCGACATTAGATTAAGCGTTGTACGATACTGTTTTATAATGTAGGCGAGCTAGGGGAGGAGGGTATTGTGCATTTATTAATTGCTCGAGCATCTACTGCCAATGAAAAAGAGCCAACGTTTCGTTCTGCCTGGGCAATACTGTTCCCGATATAGGTGAATATTAAACGTAAATGTGTATCTCAGATCGGTGGGAAAACACAAGTTAGATTTTTGACGAACGTACATCTTAATAATTACATCTCGAATAATTGCAAATTACGATCGCGATGTAACAGAATACTACTATCGACCGCAGTTTTATCCCATTCCTTTGAACAGATCGTTGTGCATAGGATTCTTAAGATATCCGCCGCGTGCGAACAGAATCCAACAAATGTCGATTTCAATGAATATCTTAATAATAATTTATGAAACGACGCCGACTGAACTGAAAACGCTACTGCCAATTTACAGACGTTCAACTAACGTTCCTTTCATTCCTGGCGCATTTTCTTTTAGTGTGATTAAAGTCTAATAGCAGTTTATTTACTTTGAGCAAGCATTTTACCGTTTATAGGCGTGGTTAAAAATAGATGACATACTTGCAGTGATAACACGATTTGATATTTAATGCTGAAAAGAACAATACAGACTTCTCATAGTATATTAACGCAAATAAAAGATTATGATTATTATAGTAGATTCTGCTGAAACGTGTTTCAACTCGATCAGCATTAAATGACAAACGCTCTTAGTATGATAATAACTAATTAAAAAAAAAGCCGTAATGAGATAATAGATAATCGTAAAATCTGCTGTAATAAAATATTTAATATGTAGCAAAAGTTCAAGAGATGATTGTTAATTTGTAATAATTATTTCAGTAGCAGACCAGATGCAAAGATAATAAATAAAAGTGTAACAAAAACCGATAATTCGCTTTTCTGCGTGTTCACATGTCGATATATAAATATAAAAAATGCATATATATATTTATGACAAGTAACTTATCAATTTATTGTATCGAGAACTTTATTTACAGTTTGATAGAAAAAGGAAGCTTGTCGTTCCCTGGATACTAATTGCAATAATACACGCCTCTGCGCGCGAGCTACGCGTCAGCTTATCCCATGGTTATTTATACATATATAAACTGGTTAACATACTTGTAGATAAAAAAAAAGAGAACAAGGAACTAAGGAAGATTTCTGTATAAATATACTCTGCGCGAAGGAAATAGTATTATACCCTCGGAATCAAAAATTTGTCATTTGGAATATTGGAGCGTTGATAAATTCAACCGTAAACCAAGGAATCCTTCTCGTTCGTGCACGGGATGTTCTCCTCGTTGAAGCACGAGGTTCGCGCCTCTGCCAGTTTGCAAGGCATACCACTTACCAACGGTAAACCGTATATATGAAACGAATCGTCGAGCGTCTGCTTGTGATCCCCGGATGAGAGAAAGTCGTTGTTCTTGTTCATGATCAACGCGAAACTTCCAGCTGTAAGATGATATTTTTTTATACCGAGAATACGTATTGTAAAACGGTGTCGTATCGTGTTTACTGTTTATCGAGAGGGTGGTTCAACGTGACTCTCCGCCACGGTATGGGAATTAACAAAAGAAATAACGTACGATCGTCTAGCGGTGGACAGGAGCAATTCGGGCTTAGGGTGAACTCGATCTTGCCGTAAAGACGTTGAACCTGGCGGGCGGCGTGCAGATCCAGCAACAGTCTCGCTTTGCGCAATCGTCTGATCGCTACTTTGGCCGCGCTACTTGCCGAGCAATAAACGTTCCTGATGTCAGACGGTAATTTGTCCATGCATACCGGACAGTGTTGTATCACGGCTCCCGTTGGCGCTGAAAAGGATTAATCATGTGTAACGTGAACGAAACAATAATTGTACGTGTAACTGTTGTAGATTGTAAAATACATTCGCTTACACGGAACGTTCGTCTCGGTCACCATCGTGGTGTTTTTTATTTCAATCTCCGGCTCCACCTACAACGAACCATATGTCTTTCATGCTCCCCTTCTTCGTTTTATCTTTTATAATTAAATTACCACCGGAGGCTCCTCGTCCTCTGGCTGTACGAGCGGCACAGTCTCATCCTCGATCGTGTACGCCGTCGTGAAATCGGCCAATCCGTTGGTGGTAGTAGTCGTTTCTGTCTTATAATCGTCATTCGGATTTATGTACACCCACACCGGCCCCTCGATCCCATCGGGAGTTTCCAGTTCCTGATCGGTGATCACGAAACCGTTAGTCGATTGCAGAGAATTTGATATTTTAATCGACGAGGACTCCGACTCATCTGTAGCTTCCAACAGCATTTTCTCATTCGTTACTTGTTTATCGATCGGCTCGGCGCTGCTACAAATTGAAGCGATTTTGTAATTCTGAAAGCATTCATTGTTATCACATATCAAATTATTTATAACGATAACTGAATGATATCCGAAAACTTACAGTGGACACGGTGAGCTCTTGTTGATAATAATCGTAAAGCTTTACGTTCGCTGGTTCTAAACGATCGACGAAATATTCTTGTATTATGTTAAACGAAATGCAAGTGCTTTGGCCGGTCAGTTTGTCAAAGTAAATGGTTACGACATCGTGGTCCACTTCGAATCGCTTCACCTCTGTAACGCATCAGCTTCAATTAGTATAAAATAGCTAGGGAAAGATTTTCTTATTTTATCGTCAGTTTACTTGAGGATGGATCTAACAAGGCGTTCAGAGTCGCTCGGTCGGGCATGTAGCCGCTGATCATGTTAACTTCCAGCAAGGCCATGTTGCTCTCCCCGTCTGACATCGTGTATCGAGCACAGATAGTAATTTGTTGTAACAAACACTCGATTTCGTATTTAAAAGGGCGGATTCCAACCGAAAGATCAAATACTTGGGAATGATCGATGTGCGGAACATTGTATTTAATATTGCTCTGGAATGATCGTCGAGATTGGTAATTATACATAATTCTCTAGATGATCTTTATACCTGTATCAGAACACAGCCTTCGCCCTGAGTAAATATTTCGACGGTCGTCGGTAGAACGGGCAAACGGATTTGCGTGAGGACCATGCGATTATCGCTGTTCAGTTTGTACGCGTATTCCACTTCTTTAGCGGTGATCAGTACCGACAATATGTTAGAAGATTGCACAGCGATAGCGTATTTCGTGAGAGCTTCGAGACCAACGACCGTGTCTTGGGTAGAACTGAATCCACCCTCGGCGTTCCTCTGTTTCGATAACCAGCGAACAGCCTTGAAAGCAACTATCATATTCTCCTCGCCGCCTAATTTGACCAGGATCAGAATCGCGTACGCCGTCATCTCGATGCTCAAACTTCTCGAGGGTTTAGTTTTGTCCTCCCACCAGAGCAGATTCTACAACATAAAAAGATTTCGGGATATCGTGCTATGCTCATTATTTGATCATTTCTCCTATAGAATTCATACATTTTGACTCGTAGCGAGATTTATTAGAGATCTCATGCTGGAATTTGCGTTCGGGTGTTCCAGTAGCGTTAACGCGTACGTGGCGAGAATCTCGGTGTACAGGCCAGCATTGTTGCTAGCTATTCCTTTCCCAAGACAGTTGAGAGCATTCTTAGTAAGGGACGGTGGCAAGGGAACACCGGATTCCACCAGAGCAATTAAGATGTATGCTGTTAATGCTGGCAACGAACCCTCGTACTCGTGTAGGCCACCCTACAGTTAGAACGAGATACAACAATTTATATATACATTCGATAAAACGTAATATACCTTTATTTGTTTGCGAAAGACGTTGCCTATTGCCTCGAAGCAACCGGTTTTTAACTGTTTCTGTTTGATCCATTCGACGGATAGTCTGAGTTCGCGTTCTTCAATGTGAATCAAACTTTGTGCTTGAGCGAACGACTTTAAGACGAATGCTGTCAGCCATATAGAACTCTGACTGGACGAAAACGCAGAGTACGAGCCATCCGCGAGTCTATAATTCAGTTCCCTCTGATATCCTAAATCAAATAAAAACGAAAAGATTTCTTTTATTCCTGTAAACATTACTGTGTGCATTTCATCTTTTTAATTTCGTCGCATAATTCAATTTCTCATAAGCTGAGAACTTGATGGACAATACCTTTCTCCATGTTTCCAATGGCTTTCGCTCGGAGCACGTGATTATCGACTTTGATCGCGTCCAAATACTTGATCACGTGTATGTTTGGAACAAACAATATCATGTTCTGTTCACCGCAGCCTTTCGGTAGCTCCACGAGTTTGTCCAAATTTTCCAACGCCGGACCCAATATATCTCCTATCAGATTTAAATACGCTCTCCCGCTGTCCGGTATCACGTCCTCGGGCAACGTCAATTCCCAAACGAACGCGGAGTCATCGGCGAAATCCTTTGGACAGACGAGCGACGATTCCGTTTTCTCCACGGGGAAACCCTCCGGTAGAATCAAGATCGGTTTCACGATTATATCCCTTAAAAATCAATCGAACGTTTTCGTATATTTTATTATAACATTGCGATCTTTTATTGGCACAATTTTATTTACCGAGTATATAACAAGGTTTCCGGACCACATGGTTCGGAGTAGCTCTCGTCTATAGAAGCTGAAACCGTTATGTTAACTTCACCGAGTATTCGTGGTCTGAGTACAAACTCGTGAACGATACTGTCCCTTGGTTTCACACAGAACGAGACGTTCGGATCCGACAAATGCAAATCGATCCCGGCTATTTCGTCCAACTTAATTTTTACCTGCATTTGAAATTCCGTTCTCGTACATGCGCTTACAGTTCGCGGTATAATTTTTTTTAGCTTATATATTTTTAATCGACATACTTACGGGTAAGCTGTGGTTCATATAGTTGAAGAGGGAGGCTTTCAGCCGCATCATTTCACCGCGTTTCACGCTGTAAGGTAAGCGGTAGTCCAGGAAAAACACTTGGAACGCTGTTATAGTGGTCGGGGGTGCTATTCCCAGACCGTGGACAGGCGAGATGCACGTCGTATACCCGACCCAATCCGTGATAGTGTCCGGTAGAGTACAATCTATCGTTGCTTTACCTTCCTTTCTATGAAAACGAATTTATTCAATATTTAATTAAACATTTGCTCGAGCCAGAGATTCGATATTATATTTCTGCGATTATTCGAATAAATAATTGTACCCAGTGGGCGTGAGTGTCCACAACCAGGTTTCGGGAAAGTAAGATCTAAGCTTAGCCGTTTGATCCAGAAGCTGGTCGTTATACGCGACTCCAATCGCAGCTGCAGCGACCGCGGAATCTATCATCGGGATATCTATCGTTAGGAAAATAAAAAGATATTTAATATTCTGTGCGAGTTTGTTGAAGATTACACATTAGTTTGTTGATAAAAAGTGACCGGAGAAATCGGGCAATTCAGAATTGAGCTCAACCGTATGTTGGATCCCACCGCGTTTCGGCGGACACGGCCGTGTCACCAATGTTAAATCGCTCATCGCGATCACTCCGAAGTCCTACGAAAAATTGAACTCTATACAAAAAAAAATCTATAAAGAATACGGTTTCTCTTGTTCAATTATAAATCTTACGTTGAAGGCTTGCATGGCGTCCACGTAATTGATACTCCTGTCGTACGATATTGCCTTTTTCCGTCTGCGCGATGGCAAGTCAGTGCCGTTTCTTTCTAGCGACATCGTATCAAACAAATTTTTAAGTTAAATCGTAAGAATTGATCGTTATTTTATTTCGTTAAAAATTGTCTTATACGAATTTAATTGATTTACTTTGTACTTATTTGAAACATACGTTTGCAATCACGCCACGAGTCCATGTAAGAGGAAGGCTTCGGGCTCGGATGGTATTTTCTGAGCTGATGGAACGTGCCCGTAGCGTTGATCAGATTCGATTGCGATTTACCCAAGAATATCGTCGACTTATCTACCACAGAGATTCCGCAAAGGGACCACGGAGCAGCTTCAACGTGATATTGAGTTTTCGATCCAGGTGTTTGTACGTCGGTATGCCAAGCGGTTTTCACTTTATTCTCGAAACAGTGACCGACCTCAATCGTATAAGTGGTCGCCACAATCTCACCATCGGATTTCACATAATAAAGTAACAATTCCGATACTGGAGCCATGCTTGGCGTCACTTTAACGCTCAAAGGAAATCTGACAACAAAGTAGACAATAATAATTATACATATAATCATTTTAAAAATATGCACGAAGATTAATTACCTGTGCACCATGGGATATACGTCAGTTTTGTTAGTCGATTCAACGGTATCCAGTAGATTGCGAAATTCCGAGTAATTTAAAATCGTATCGTGAGTCGGCTTATGTTTCACGTGGCCGTAAATTAAAATACTACTCTTCGAGTTGATCGAATAGTGGAAAGAAATGAAATCGGTCATGTTAGGAGGTACCGTGTACATGACATTGAAGGAATACTTCTCGCCGCATACGATCGGTTGATTTCCTCTAGCCACCGTTAAGTAACTATCCGACGGTGAATACCAGGGATTCACATAGGCGGTCGCCGATGGTTGATTCATTAAGACCTACGAGAAAACGTGTACGCCAGATTGCAAAACTTGTAATTCCTTTATGTCTCGATCAACATGTATTATTAATGTTACCTACTCTCCAACGTTGCTCCGTATAATATTTTGTTGGATAATCAATGGCGGTGGCGACGAAAGTTAACAGATCTATATTTTTGTCATCCTGCGGTGGTACGATGAAATCGACGAAGCCATCGGTGGAAGACATAAAGTCACGGCATTCGATCGCCTTCAACTTAATCTCTCCAAGTACTTTCATGCAAACCTGAATCTTTATGTTCGGCATGGGCGTGTTGTCATGTTGCAAAACTCGTAGCTGTTAAGCGAACACAAAGTGTTTATCAAAGACCTTAGCGATTTTTTAAATAAAGTCATTTACTTTTCCGTGATAAGGCAAGCCTAGTTTAAAGTATTTCGGCGTATAATTCTCGAATTCCAACTTGAGAGCCTCGTGCATCACCACTGTCCGACTAATCGTAGTTTCTACTACGCCGGTACCGGCTTCCGTGAACTCTGCTACGAGAACGACGTTGTTCGGATCCGCTTGCCAGTGGGCCAATCCCAAGACCGTCCCAGAAAGAACAAAGTCGGTGCAACCATCCGGTTTGTCAAACTAAAATTATACATATCGTAATTCAGGTAAGTGCACACTTTTGCGTCTCGTTAAATGACCTAAACAAAGATCGTACTTCCGTTTCGTAACGTATTGCCGGGAGATGCGGCTTTCTTTCCCAGCTCGGAGTTTGCGGGGTCAATTTCAGTAATAAAGTACCTTTCACGGGTTTACCGTAAGTGTACCTGTTTAAAAGAACGAAGGTATAAGAACGTATAAAACATGATGTCGCGATTATGTTACCTGACACAGATGTTCCAAGTCATGTCTTGCGCGTCCATCAGAATATATTCCGGCGAATTGATCGTTATTTGAAATCGTGGAAGAACGTATTTGTCCACTTCAAATTTGGTTGTATGAATCAACCCGGGGACCGCTGCTATTTTTTCTACTTTTATGTTCCAAGTCCCCTGCATACGTAACATTTGTTTAAGTTCGCCTAAATATATCTTTTAATATAACGTAATTTATTAATTTTACCGAGCTGGGTTCTGGAGAAAGTGGAAATTTCAATTGTACCAATCCGTTCTCTGTATTAACGTTCCTCCATTCCGCGACCCTCACTTCCGACGGATTTTCAATCCATACCTTCGGGATCTTTGGAAGTAACAACGAACATAATTAATCCTCCGACGTAATAGATAAATTTTGTCGTCTTACCGGTTCCTTCCAAGGCTTCAAATTGTGTCTGAGCATGAGAATTCTGATGTTCACATCCTGGCCGGGCTTGTAAATTACTTTATCAGTTTCGACGAACGTCATCACGGAATCGTGCACGATCACAACTTCTTTTTCTTCTTCGACCACGTAAGAAGGGTACTTGTCGAATTTGATTTTTAATCGAAGGAAGCCTCGAAAATACGGCGTCCACGGTATCTCCAACGGCATGCATATCTCTACGCCTTTAAAAAGTGGCAATTAACGTGATTGCTATTGATTACCCAGGGCTATCATTATATTAAACGGCATTCACGCAGAAGAATGCCCTTAATCGTTAAATTGCTACACGCACCGAGAAGTTAATCTAATTAAAAAGCACGCCGATTTATCTAATTGTTCCCACAGTTAAATATCCATTATTTTCTGAATACTTTTGATTAATCCCATTAGATCAATTCGATCGACGAACATGATTTTTGGCAAAACCGATGTATTTGTTCATTCGACTGAATGATCAATGTTCACTCTATGTAATATAATAATTATATGATAAAGGGTTTCCCATGTTATTCCAACGATTGCTTATTTCCTTTCCAGGAGGGAATTGGCCAATTTAGTTCCCCCGCAGGAAGTAACGACAATTTCAATTTACGATTTGTTTAGGCCAGGACTACCAGACCGGTTTATACGCCGCATGTTGCACGCCGCCTTCTCTTCATCGAAGTCTGCACGGACGTGAGAAAAAGAAGCAGTAGTCCTGGCGCAAACAAAATTCGTCGCTGCCGGATTGAACGCGAAAGAACACACTGTAAAACGCGATGATCGAAATAGTTTTGAAACAGTTACTTCAAGAGATGCTTGAATCAAGCGTTTCTAAGTCTGTTTTATTGAACGAAATTGCACTCGTGTTTTACTTGCAAGCTTATCGAAATGATAGCAGACACATGTACGTTACAGACGATACGATGAGCCAGGGGTCTACGTTCGACGAATGAATCAGCAAAATATTCACGGATCGCGTCTTATTAATAAGATTAATAACGACTTTCGAATTCTTCGTACAAGTTTTCCTATCTCGCTTGGTTTATTTTACTTTCATTACATTTCTGTAATTACCTACTTGTGTTTACGAGGATGTTAGTGCTAGCTATTAATTCCTTGTCCCAGGAATTCAACAGTTGTAACGTAACGTAAGCCGGAGGCTTTAAATTGTGCAAAGAAAGGCACCCGCTGACCGTCTCGCCGGCTAACAGGTTTCTCGGAGCCGTGAACAAGTACCCCCTAAAAGCAAAATATAATTCTACACTCGCCGACTTCCTCGCATCCTCGCGCTTCTTTCTAACATCTGCGCTTTGCATCCGGTTGAAAAATGTACACTTTGTAAAGTTTCTATTACCGATTCGTAACCGATTTAGATCCATGCGAGAGTCCCAGTGAATAAATAAGGATGACTAACAAGGTCACTAATTTGTCCATTTTTAACAGAATAAATAATCGCACTTTTTCACAAAGATCTATATTCGATGAATCACGTTTACGAGCATGCTTGAATTGTTTCGCCGCTATAAAGAGAAGCGTGTACGCGTAGCTGCGCGCAGACTGAAGAAACGATATTCGTTCGGACCCTCTTATTAATCCCCTGCATTTGTAAGGAGAAGGGTTAAACGTCCCGCTGATAGCGATTAGAACGCGAGACACATTCGATTTTCTCCTATTTCGCTTTATCAAGTTTAACGCAAATGTATCCGAACTTTTTATTCACTGATTATCTATCTTTGTAAATAAATTATTCTGTGCATACGTTGTTCTTTATATGTCTATGATGAAATGATTCAATGTTTGTAATCTTCTACTCGGTGACCCCGTGTTATCATGCAGCTTACTAACATCTAAATATTCTCATATTACTAACTTTCTATTTTCTTATCATTACTGCAGAATGCAAAATGGAAGCGAACTTTTGCTCTTTTTAATTTTCTAATTGTTCAGTATTTAAGTACGACCGATGATATATGGCACGGAACTAATGGATCTTAAAGCTCCGCAGAAATAGAATTAATTAAATAAATGGGATTAAATATTTGTCGAGAGTTTATAAAATAATTCTTGATATACTTGAGGATTTTCAAAATACGATCTATCGCGCTCTCCCTCCCATTGCATTCAGCTCGTCCGAAAGTCAGCTGTGCATCACGAATGGCATTGGCACTGCGCATTGTGTTTGCGTTATTAGTATCACGGGAAGACGTATAATTCAGTTACTCGTGTAAGAATTAAAGTAACGCCTCATGGAACGATTTTGTCTCGAATCTTGAATCCTCCACAGCTTCGTAATATGCGTAACACATAAGGATATATAGTGTACGAATTATTGTTATTAAGTAAGGTTACCTACCTGTAAAGGATCTCGAAGCTAGATTACGAATTGTGAAAATGTCATTTTTACGGGGGTCGACGAATTTCGTTTGGTGCACGACTAGCGTTCTCGGCAAGGGTGCCACCGGTGCGGTTTTCCAAGGGGTGAATAAGAACAACGGGGAACCCGTTGCCGTGAAGACATTCAACCAGCTGAGTCATCTGCGTCCGCACGACGTGCGGATGCGGGAATTCGAAGTCCTCAAGAAGGTAAATCATGAGAACATCGTTCAGCTGCTGGCGATCGAGGAAGAGCAAGACGGTCGTGGCACGGTGATTGTCATGGAGCTGTGCACCGGAGGCAGCCTCTTCAACATCCTCGACGACCCGGAGAACACTTACGGATTAGCCGAAAGCGAGTTCTTGCTAGTTTTAGAACATTTAACTGCTGGGATGAAGCATTTGCGGGATAACAATTTGGTACATCGAGATTTGAAACCAGGTAAGACGAGAAGAAAGAGCAAACTTGAATGAAGTATTGAATACATTTTTCTATTAGGCAATATAATGAAGTTCATTGCTGATGATGGTAGCACGATTTACAAGCTCACCGACTTTGGTGCTGCCAGAGAATTACAAGAGGATCAACAGTTTGTGTCTTTATACGGCACAGAAGAATACTTGCACCCGGACATATACGAGCGAGCAGTTATGCGTAAACCTGTTGGTAAAACGTTCGGAGCAACTGTGGATCTATGGTCCATAGGTGTGACTTTGTATCACGTGGCTACGGGAAATTTACCGTTCAGACCTTTCGGTGGTCGTAGGAATAAAGAAACAATGTTCTATATCATCACGAAAAAGGCCTCCGGTGTTATATCCGGTGTACAGACTTCCGATAATGGGCCGATCGAATGGAGCAAAGAATTACCGCAGAACTGCCAGCTGAGCGTCGGTCTGAAAAAGATCGTTACTCCTTTACTGGCCGGTTTACTTGAAGTCGATCCTCAGAAGATATGGAGCTTCGACCGGTTTTTCACAGAAGTGACGGACATGCTTTGCAGAAAGCGTGTTCATATATTTAATATACACAAGGGCAGTCTGATCAAAGTTTTCTTACACCCCGAAGAGAAACTGACTGCGCTTCAAGTGCACATACAAGATCAAACGGATATCGCGCCCCATGCACAAATACTTCTATGCGGAGATACATTTTTAACTAACGTCGTCGAAGAATCGACCCCTGGGAAGGGTTATCCGAATACAGACGAGACCAAGCCACTGATGTTGTTCTCCAAGGAGAACAATAACGTTGATAGACCTGTGGATTCGGAATTAACGGAGACTAAATTCCCAGTATTCGCGAGCATCATCTCCGTCGAGAATGACGCTAGTCAAGCAAAAATAGCTTGTTCCGTCGGCTACGTCTGTAAAAGGAGAATTGACAAATTAGTGGTGTGTACCAAGTTATCGCAGGACGCGGTGGAGGCTTTCAGTAGGCTCGTCTCGGCGGAGCTTGCGAGACTGTTGGAAAAATGTGAGCACTTGAAGGAATTGACGAAGGCTGTGGAGGACACGGCTGCGGCAGTGGAAAGAAGCGAGAATCTCGCCTGGCAAGTTTCTAGGAAGTTTGCGAGTCAGAGTGCTTTAGAGATGAAGAATTGGAAGAAAGACTTGGAATTGAAAAGCAAAGAGTTTACGGTCGAATTAGTTCCTGCAGTGGTGCAGCTTCATCAAAGGTATTTGTTCTGATGCACGTTTAATTCGTTTGAATAAGGACGTTTCAATCTGCTTAGGTATGTGAAAGAGGGAAGTTTACGCGGAGGATGGGACAGTATCATTCACGGATTATGGTGTCCATGCGCGAATAAATCAAGCCAAAAAGCTGCGATTCTAGTTGATCGTTTACGAGACGGCTGGCAGCATTTACTGAGAGACAGGGCTACTCGTAATCTTACGTACAACGACGAACAATTTCATATTTTGGAACGAATGAAGGTACTTGGCGATTAGAGACCAAATGTGGTGTATTACATTTCTAATGTCTTTACGTTTATCTGTAGGTGACGTCCACGGGTCAAAGAATTAAAGCTCTTCTTGAAACGTTTTGCGTACCTGCTACAAGGAGTCGGTGGGAGTGCGTTGCCGATTGGTATAAAATGGCCCAAACAGTTTTCTTGCAAACTCAAATCTTGGACAAGGACGTAGAGAATTATGTACGCGTGTTAGAGACGTACTCGTATCGTTTGTCTCAAGAGAGTAAAGAACGTTACGAGAACTTCTTGCATTTAGTGGATAGATTCCCGGAGAAAATAAAAACTACCGAGAGGACAAATTTACCTGCCCAAGAAAGTACAAAGAAATGGAAAAATATTTGTGTTGTGCAGGAACAAATTGCAATGATTCTGTATGCGAACGGTGCGCTGATAGATCAACTCGACCGTTTATCAACGGTTGACAGTTTGCCCGATACGGACGATTCCGAATACACGTCACTTTAGCAAGAGCGTGATTAGTTTCTGTTATATATTTGACGAGACTAAGACTGACAGTAATATTTCAAACTTTTATTCGTAATATTTCGTTTAAATAAGAAATGTATCTAAAACAGTTGTATATAAAAGAATGTACATTCACATTTCTTCTATGAAGAAGATAGATGAGCTTTAATACATAACGGTTAGTAATTTACTTATCATTCGTATATACAAACCTGACAGAAAAAATAATTTACTTTTTTGCACGAGGAAATAAGATATTAAATATACGATTTCTTTTTTATAAGTACGTTTGTATAGTAAAAAGGTTTGAGAGCATGTGTGTGTGCATATATATGTATA